AAATAACAATCGTAGGAACATGGGAAATTATCAGCAAAATGCTAACCCAACCACCATTTCAAGTGGCTATTCCAACACGAATCAGAGTTATCACGCACAAAATAAACAGCATAATAAGTCCGAAGACAATCAGAAAGCTCACCACGAGTTCCAACAGAAATTAAGTCAAGGTAGATACCAAAATCCCTTAAACTACCAAAATCAGTCCCATTCACGCTTGAATGCACCAAACCCTCCGACTAAACGTCAAAGAGATAGTAACAGTGGGCAGATGAAAATGGATACATCCGAAAATTTTCATCAGCAAGCCTCGGAACAAACAGAAGAAATCCATTCATAAAATTGATTATGAATGACGAAGTTCTAAAATGTGTCATCGACACAGGTTCAACCATAAATCTAATGAAAACAAACCGCTTAAATTTTCCAGTTTACAACGAAACATTAAAGGTTCACACCATAAATGGTGTTATTGAATTAAAACAAAGTATACGATTAGGAGCAAGCAAAATTTGTCCGAGCAAACAAAAATTCTATATTCACGACTTCTCAGAGCATTATGATGTTCTGATTGGGAGAGAATACCTTGAGGCATGTCAAGCAAAAATAGACTATGCACAAGGATCCGTAACCTTAGGAGAATTTAACTTTTGTTTTAGATATAATGACGAAGAGGTCGAAGAGGACATGACCGCACAAGAGTGCCTTGATCCACCCTCAACAGAGGACAGACCATTTAACTTCGCTATTAATAATGAATTAATAGAAAACAATGAGTTTAGGCTAGAGCACCTAAACTCAGAAGAAAAAGAAAAAATAAAAAAAGTTTTACATGAATTTCGTGATATCCAGTACCATGAAGGTGACAATTTGACTTTCACTAGTACAATTAAACACAAAATTCTAACGAAACATGAGGACCCAATTTACAAGCGTCCATACAAATATCCTCAAATATACGATGAGGAAGTAAATAAACAAATAAGCGATATGATAAAACAAAATATCATACGTAAATCCAAATCCCCTTACTGCTCACCAGTAATAATCGTTCCAAAGAAAAACGATGCATCTGGAAAGCAAAAATTCCGGTTAGTCATAGATTACCGCAATCTCAATGAACTAACTATTAATGATAAATACCCTATCCCGATCATGGATGAAATATTAGACAAACTTGGAAAATGTCAATATTTCACAACCATTGATCTAGCCAAAGGCTTCCACCAAATCCAAATGGATCCTGGTTCAATACCCAAGACCGCATTTTCGACTAAACATGGCCATTACGAGTACACTCGCATGCCATTTGGTCTTAAGAATGCACCTGCAACGTTCCAACGTTGTATGAACAATCTCTTAGAAGATTTAATTTTTAAAGATTGTCTGGTCTACTTAGACGACATTATTATTTTTTCCACTTCATTGGAGGAACACATTTTGTCGCTACAAAAGGTATTTAAGAAGCTTAGAGAAGCTAACTTAAAACTACAGTTGGATAAATGCGAGTTTATGAGAAAAGAAACTGAATTTCTCGGTCACATCATCACAACTGAGGGTATAAAACCAAATCCCAACAAGATACAAGCAATTGTCAAATTCCCAATTCCAAAAACCCCAAAAGAAATTAAATCATTTCTAGGATTATGTGGTTTCTATAGGAAATTTATACCAAATTTCGCTAATATAGTAAAACCATTAACACTTAAATTAAAAAAGGGAGCAAAAATCAATATAAAAGACAGAGACTACGAGCTAGCGTTTGAAAAGCTAAAAGTACTCATAACATCCGACCCAATTTTAATATACCCTAACTTCGAAAAACCATTTTCATTAACTACAGACGCGAGTAATATGGCAATAGGGGCCGTCCTTTCGCAAGAGCATAAGCCTATATGCTATGCAAGTAGAACTCTCAACGAGCATGAGTTAAATTATTCAACGATTGAAAAAGAATTATTAGCAATCGTTTGGGCCACTAAATACTTTAGGTCCTATCTCTTTGGTCGACAATTTCAAATCCTTAGTGATCACAGACCACTCGTCTGGTTAAATAATATGAAAGAACCTAACATGAAATTACAAAGGTGGAAGATCAAGCTAAATGAGTTTGATTTCCAAATTAAATACGTCCCAGGAAAAGAAAATTATGTGGCAGATGCTCTGTCCAGAATTCAATTAAACGAAAACTTCTTAGGCGAAGATACAATTAGCACAAGAGCAACAATACATAGTGCTCAAGAAGACAACAGTAACCATTTACAAATCACAGAAAGACCACTTAATTATTATAATCGACAAATAGAATTTGAAAAAGGAACCGAGAACGAAACAAAAGTTACGAATTACTTTCACAAAACCAACATAAAAATTACGTACAAAGACATGACTAATACGCATGCCAAAGAATTAATAAAAGAATACTTATGCACAAAGAAAAGTGTGCTATACTTCCACAACGAAGCAGATTTTCCAATTTTTCAAGAAGCCTACTTAGAAATAATAAGTCCGAATAATTCAACAAAGGCAATGAAAACTAGTACAAAATTAATAGACCTTCAAACATACGCAGAATTCAAAGAATTAATATTAAAAAAGCACAAAGAATTATTACATCCAGGAATTGAAAAAACTATCAATTGGTTCAAAGAAACCCACTATTTCCCAGATTATCAAAATCTAATTCAAAATCTAATAAATGAATGTGAGATTTGCAACATCGCAAAAACAGAACACAGAGATACAAAATTAACTTTCGAAATAACTCCGGAAATCGCTAATATCCGAGAAAAATATGTAATGGATTTTTACATAGTAGGAGATAAACAATTTTTATCTTGCATTGATATCTATTCAAAATTTGCATCATTAATAGAAATAAAAAGTAGAGACTGGCTAGAAACCAAACGAGCTATATTACAAGTGTTCAACCAAATGGGTAAACCCATCGAAATAAAGGCAGACAAAGACTCAGCTTTTATGTGCACAGCTTTACAATTATGGCTAAAATCAGAAGCAGTAAATATTAATATAACCACTAGTAAAAACGGTATATCCGACGTAGAACGATTTCATAAGACAGTTAACGAAAAACTAAGAATCATTAACAGCGACTCAGACGTCGAAAATAAACTTACAAAATTTGAAACTATACTCTACACGTACAATCATAAAACAAAGCACAAAACGACTAACAGAACACCAGCGGACATATTCATATATGCAGGTACACCAGAGTATGACACTCAAGCTAATAAAGAAAAACTAATAAATAACCTCAACAAAAACCGAAGAAACTTTTAACAATTTAATTGAACAAAGTAAAGAATTCAATAACCTTATACAAATCGAATACCTAGTAGAAAAATTAAACAGAGAAATAAACGGCTTAAAAATAGCCAAACGTAGCAAAAGAGGTTTAGTTAACATAGTAGGAACAGCATATAAATACTTATTTGGAACATTAAATCAAGAAGACAAAGCAGAAATTGAACAAAAAATAAGCAACTTAGCAGAAAACAGCGTTCAGGTTAACGAATTAAATTACATAATAGAAGCTATAAACAAAGGAATAGAAATCATGAACGAACTAGATCAAGAGAAACAAAAAGGAAAGAAATTAGATATCCTTATATTTAACTTACAACACTTTACAGAATATATAGAAGACATTGAGATGGGAATGCAGCTCACAAGATTAGGAATTTTTAACCCAAAATTACTAAAACATGACTATTTGTTGCATGTTAATTCTGAGAAATTGTTGAATACAAAAACTTCCACTTGGTTTAAATCAGATACAAACGAAATACTGATAATATCCCATATTCCTCGAGAAATAATAAAAAGCCCGGTATTCGAAATAATTCCATACCCGGATGAAAATAATAATATTTTGACAGAAATAGCTCATGAAAAATATTTTACCCAAGATAAAAAAGTTTATAGCAGAGAAACAAAAAAATTAATTAATAATGAATGTTTAACAGGAATTTTAAACCAAATAACATCAGAATGTAGTTATACTAAAATTTTGCAAAATTTTCAAATCAACTACATAGAACCAAATATAATTTTAACTTGGAATTTACCAAAAACTATATTAAACCATAATTGTATAAATAACGAAATAACAATAGAAGGAAACAATATAATAAAAATCTTTAATTGTTCATTGCAAATTAATGAAATTTCAATTTCAAACAATATGTTAGATTATACTCAAAGCATTTACGTAAGCAATGATGTTATAAAATTAGAACCACTTTCGTTTGTACAAACGAAACAAATTATAAATGCACATACAAAATTTAACAATGTATTCCAGATAATTACAATAACCATATTTGTAATCATATTAATAAGTTTAACACTGTATTTGACATATAAGTTCAAAAGCATACCTAAGAAATTAATTATAAAATATAAAAAACCCAAAGTAGAAGAAACACCTACAATAATAGGAGATATACCAATTGTAAAAGAAGAAAATGTTACACTATATCCAAACTTAAACACCTGAGGACAGGCACTTTTCTAATGGTTGGGGGAGTGACATATCCATAGTCGCACCCACCCTTTAACATATCTTAGCACATAAGCATAAGCACAATTATAAACATTTCTAATATTGTAAACAAAGAGCCTGGTGATAACATCGACATTGGTCAAGATCAAACTGTCCCCCTTTGGTAGACATAAACAATTCACCCTAAATATCACGCCACTGTCAATGTTCCCATCAGAGTACTATCCCACGCATAATTGCTGACGCAGCTCAAACTTCACTCAATTTTGACTCAAACTCTCTCAAAGCGAAGTTTGCTAAGCGACCGCAACAGTTAGATAAATCAGTTCATATTCGGGAAGCAAATCTGAATGTACTCAACAAAAGTAGCCGTTAAGTGAAAATAATAAATTGAAATATATTTTTTTATAGTAACCTAACGTGTAAAACTTAATTATATATATATATATATATGAAAAAAAAAAAAAACAAATAATGATAAGAATAGTTTATGGACTATGCAATAATTTAATGATAGCCGTGCGTGGGCGTGGCTGCGGCTCCGAAGCTGCTCACCGGCGGCAGGTATGTGGATTCTGGCTCAAAAATGGGCGTGGCCGAGTCACCAGACTGACCGGGCGCACCATAAAGCACCGCCGGCGCCGAATAATCATAGCCCGTCGTCTGTGCACTGGGCGTGGCAAAATCAAAGCCAACGCTCGGCTCGGGCTTGGCACCCAGAAAGGCGCTCGGCATGAACGGCGTCTTGGACAGCTCGGCGAACAGTTCGTTGTGCTCCTGATGCCCGCCAGCCGGATGAATGTCCGTGTTCAGGGCCAGCGGCTTGCTGGACGTATAGCTAAAGTGGCCGAGTCCCTTGTGGCCCAGCGCATAGGCGGGCGTCTGCTGTTCCTGTTGCGTCTTGTGCGCCGCGCCATGCTCTGCCGGCAGCTGCTGCTGGTGATGATGCTGTTGCAGCTCCTCCTCGGCCGAATCAAGCTGGCTGCTGTGCTCGTAGCCAGGCTGGAGGGGCACGCCATAGCTGCTCAGCGGCTGCTGCTGCTTGTAGTGTATGGAGCTGGGCCCCTCATAGTGCTCGTGCTGCTCGAGGCCGGACGCAAAGTGCTGTCCGCCCAGGCTATGAGCCAAGCCATGGCCATGGCCGTGTCCAAGTCCAAGCGAGTAGCCTGCTCCAGATCCATGACTACCGCTGCTGCTGCTGCTGCTGCTGCTGTAGGAGGGCGTGGCCAGCAAGTAGGTGCTGCTGCCGCCGCCGCCGCCGCCGTGTTGCTTGTGTGCGCCGCCGAGCAGGCTCAGATAGCCACCGCCATGTCCAGCGTATTTGTAGCCGCCGCCCAAGCCATGACCCTGCTGTCCACGACCAGGTCCATGGCTAGGTCCAGGTCCATGTCCATGTCCGCCGCCGCTGCTGCTGGTCTGCACAATGTACGTCTCCACCTTGGGCGCCTGTGGCCGATGGTGATAGCCGCCCGCGCTGGACGAGCTGATGTAGACGGGTCGTCCGTGTCCATGATGGGAGGCCAGCGACTGATATGTGTGCGGCTGGTGGCTATAATGATGATGATGATGATGATACTGCTGCTGCTGCTGGCTGTTATCCGTGTCAAGGCTGGCAAAGTCGAAGCCGCTGCTGGAGGCCAGGCCATTGCCGTGCAGTGTCGCATAGGTGCTCTCATAGCCTCCCGCGCCGATGGCGGCGGGCGGCAGGTATTTGTGTGAGGGTCCGTGATAGATGCCGCTGCCAAAGCTTAGGCCAGCGTCGCGCTTTGGCTTGGCGGGCGTCGCATTTGGCTGCACTTGTTTTTGCTGCTGCTGCTGCTGCGGCTGCGGCTGCTGATCGGCGGCGGCAAAGGCCAAGCACGCGCAGATCAAAAGCGCGCGCGAAAACTGCATTAAAAAAATTTGAAATAACGTTTGGATTAATTGAATTTCGTTGGCGCATTTAGAAATTTATCGCCAGTGTGGCACTTGCTATAAATCTAAAAATACTTCTTTAAGGATCATAATGCGCGTTAGTATTTATTTGGGCTTCAATTGTTATTTCACAACACTTACAGCGAACTGCATTTTGCAAGGTGCACGTCAAAAAATACCAATAAAAAAAAAAACAAAGACCAGTAACTTTTATCGATCAACTTGATGTTATTATCCTTTCGCTCTCTCACTCTCTCGCTCTCGCTATTTCTCCCGCTTATATAACGTTTCGCTCGCGTTTATTCCACAAGTGCTGCGCGTCGAGTGTTGACGACCTCTGCGCCGTCCAACCCTTTTATACGCGGTCTCTGCAACAAACCGCTCGTCATTGCGCACGTCGACGCCGGCGTCGCAGCTGCGTCGGCGGCGATGCGAAAAGCGCCAACTCAACGCATTTGGTATTTTTTTTCTTTTTTTTTTTGGTGTTGTTGTTGTTGTTGTTGTTGCTGTTGCCATTTTGCATATGATCCAAAGCGATTTTTGGGTTTTGTTACGCTTTGGCTTACCGTTTGCTGTCTTTTCTTACTCTCGCTCGCACTCACACTCACACTCACATTCCCTTTCGCATTCACACTCTCACTCTTGTTTGGGCCGGTTGGGCGCACGCTCTGGAGACATTAATCTGGAACGCGTTGCCTTGGCACAGTGGAACCAGCATACGTGCTATTATTGGATTTAGCTGGTGAGTGTACGAAGTTAGCTTTAGTTTACATTTGCCGACATTTTTGATAAGATTTCACCTAGTCATATATATAGTAAAACTATTTTCCCTACATCTGTGTCTATATCTCTATATAACAACTGTTGGCTCACTCAACTTGTATTTCGATACATTTTCCAGCGCTCTGGCACCACGGTATATTGCGGCAATTGCATTTACCGTTCGACTCAAGTTCAAGTGACACTTTTGCCATATCGCATGTCTCAGTGCACAATTCTGCCCGCACCCCTCCCTCGCTCCAGCGACCTTTCGTTTGGTGCGTGTCTGCTTTTATTATGTTGTTTTTTAATTTCTTTTTTTTTTTTAAGTTTCGGTTTTTTCCAAGCTTTCCCAGTCTTTTGCGGCAAGTTGATTTTGGCTTATGCGTAAATTGCAATTAATTCCAAGTAACATTTTGATGAATGTAAGTCCGGATGACGGGCCAACCCTCCCCTCACACTCTCTCTCCCGCAAAACGGTGCGAGCTCTCTCTCTCTCTCTCTCTCTCTCCGGCCTTTCATATTCTTGGCAGCGAGTAACGGTAACCTGGCCAAATAAAAAAAAGTCCATTCACGGAACCATGGAAACGTTTGTTGTTGTTGTTGTTGTTGTTGCCGTTTGACTGATGATGTTTTCATTTGTTGTTGTCGTTGTTGTTGTTGTTGTTGCTCGCGAATCGTTTTGTCAGCTGCCGCAAATTTGTAACAGATTTTGTTTGTCTTCAACTTTTTTTTCACTCTTAGTTTTTTTTTGTTTCCTTCTCGTTTATCTACAACTTAGTTAGGATTGGGTGTAGCCGAGTCTTTCCCTTTTAATTAAACTGTTTGCCGCAATGCCGTAACAACATTTACCAAGGCCTCGTAATCCACTTGTCACATCGGCAACTGTTTCTCTCAACCGTCACTTTTCGGGATCCCAAAATATTGCTAATGACCCATCGCAACCTTAGTTAATCAATCAATCAATCATTCAATCAATCAATTAAGGTTTTGCATATGCCACAAGATAACCTGCTAACTTCTCGCTTCCTCTTCTGGGATGAGTCCCAGCCCCAGTCAATCAATCAATCAATCAATCATTCAATCAATCAATCAATTGAGGTTTTGCATATGCCACAAATCAAATATGTAGACCGACTGGAAGATAATCTGCTAACTTCTCGCTTTCTCCTCCCATCCCAGCCTGTCAATCAATCAATCAATATCCAATCAATCAATCAATCAATTGAGGTTTTGCATATGGCACAAATTTAACATATAAAGACCGGCTGGAAGACCACATGCTGTCGTCTTGATTCTTCTTCTCATCTCAGCCTTAGTCAATCAATCAATCACTTAATCAATCAGTCAATCAATTGAGGTTTTGCATATGCCATAAATCTAACATTTAAAGACGACTGGAAGATTACCTGCTGCCTGCTTGCTTCTATCTCTTTAAACCTCACTCTAGATATGGGGAATGCATGCTTGATTAACTTGGGAGCTTTATATCCAATCCCTATGAAATTTTCCTTCAATAGGGTATACAAAACTATGTATGCACCAAGGTGCAAGGCTCTACCTTTGATACAGAGCTATTACCCAATTTTTGGGTTATAGAGGGATGTATCTAGTTATTGAAATATCCTGAATGAAAATATAATATGCAAAGTTTAAGCCGATAATAATCTATTAGATCTAGCTATACAGACAGATCAGACGGAGAGACAGACGGACAGACTCAGCTCGTTCTGATCAAGCAAAAAATATGTATATATTATAGGCTTTGCATACTCTCACAGAAAAAAATTATGCCCTGCTTACACCGTTCGGGCTATACAATAACCTAATGAACTCATAAGCATTAGTCATTGATTTGCTTTTTGAGACTCTTCCAAATGAGGCAGCTGCGCTGATTGAACGCCCCACGAGGTCTTTAGGTTAAATAATTTCAGGTTTAATAATTTCATTAAATGAGCTCATTATCGGCTGACGTAAATTAGCTTGCTTGGAATGTGCTACGATTAGCGCTCCAATAACTTACGAGCTGCGGTACGGCACAACACCCTCTCGACGGTACCGAGGCGCTACCTCGCTTGGCACTATTAATCTGAGTTGAGAATACATTAAATCTATTTCTATTGTCTATTTTATACCCTTGAGTAGCCAAATAAATAGAAACCAGCCTTTATAGAGCAGGTACTGCCAGTAAGGTACTGCCACAAGGCTCTGTACATGATCGATATTACCATAAAAATACTTAGGGTGTTGCTTTGGTAGAGTGTCAAGGAAAGTTAAGTGCTTGGTATCCTACAAGGTTGGATACCCTGCAGTGGTATCTTATAGGGTACATTATTCGGTACGGCACAAGGTACTAACTGCGCTAGGGGAATACACTGGGTCGAGGTCGTCCGTATAATAGGTTGAAAATGAATTGTATAAGTTTATTTAACTACATATTACTAAATAAGACATAGTACAGCATCAGTTGATATCCTAGGGAGGTGCTGTACCTGGTCCATTATCCCGGTACGGCACAAGGTCCTACCTTGATTTTGGCAGTTCAGTAGTTCGAGTGCGTCTCCGGACTAGGTTGGCATTGCCTTGGAATGATATGATGGTGGTATACTCAAATATACATTTATGGTACTTAAAAGGTAGAGTATGTAGAAAAGCACCCTCTTGCATACATTTGAGTATGTAACTATACTATAGGTTAGGTTATTCGGAGTCCCATCCAATTTTAAGTTCGTTTTTAGAGTATTTGATGTCCTATCTTCCTTCTGGGGAGGTGCTGTACCTGATCCATTATCCCGGTACGGCACAAGGTCCCACCTTGACTGGGCAACTACATTAGGCCTTGTTTGTCTGTAAACTAGGTTGGCAATGCCTTGGACTGGTTTCTTACATTTAGATAAGTTATAGAAAAAGTTGGTCTACTCAAATAAACATCTATGGCATTTAAAAGGTAGTGTATGGCACCCTCATTCCGCTTAGTTAGCGCATCGTTTGGTCGTCGTATTTATGCAATTACCACAATTACCGCCTGCTGTGGCTCTCCCCGCCCGCTCGCCCTTTTTCCGAGCGGACTGTGTGGCTGTGTTAACGTAATTGCCGGGCCGCTTGCGGTGCCATTGTCAATCTTCATATGGAGGAGCTCGTCTCGCTTCGAACTTGACGGCGATTGCGCAATGTGCTTAGCGCCCCGTTGCCAAGGTCAAACGCGGCAAGCCAAGCCAAGCCGCCGGATAATTTCGCCAAATTTGCGGCATTTGGAAAGTAAATGGCAGCCGCGTCCCGCCCCCGGGTAAAAGTAAAGCCACAACCATTTGAAAATTGTATACAACAAATAAATGTATTGGCAGCGTGGACTTAGCTTCTAACTAGTTGGTAGAGATTGCCGGGTGACATGTAAAGAAAATGCGTCTCCACGTCCGATGGCGCGGGCAGAGCCTCAGCTGTTAGCTCCTCGATGGGCTTGCTGTGCGCCGTGGCCTGCGGATAGCCGGGCGCATGGAAGAGCGGTTCCTGCTGCGGCTCCTCGCGTTGCAGCTCCTTCTGCTCCAGCTGCTGCTGCTGCTGCTCCTCCTGCTGCTCATTGCTGTAGCCGGCAAAGGGCGAGGGTCGAAAGGGCAGCGTGAACTGTTGCCGCACCGGCCGCACTAGACCCAACACCACGGGCCTTCTGGCCGCTGGCTGTGCCTGCCCAGCGGCGCCCGGAAAGGTCTGCGGGCCCGTATAGCCCAGGCTCAGCTGCTGGATGCCTGGCGCCGGCAACAACGGCCGCCAGGGTGTCGCATAAAACCAGCTGTGGTAGCGGAAGGGCGGCAACTGTTGCGCCTCGACGACCAGGAGCAGTGTCATCCAGATGTGGCCACGCATTTTGTGTGCGAGCTCGACGCGTCTCTGTGGGCCTAGGCGCCAGTCCAGCCCACTTTTATAGCCTAGGCAGAGTAATGCGATCCATGTGGTACCGCTGTAACCGATATGGGAAGTGGAAAATGGATATGGAAATTGAAATGCACTTGGCTAGGGCTATGACATCTGGCATCTGGGCATCTGGGCGGCTGGGCAGTCGGGGGCGTGGCACCTCTTCCTTATTGCGATTACATAAAACTGAACGTGCTTTTGGGCTAATTGAATTTTGGCTTTAACAGTAATAATTGTCCCAAACGATTTTCGGCGCTTGCGCAAATCGTGTCGCAAGCAAAATCATTTTCAAGCCCAATGATAATGATTAGCGTAATGATAATAGTTGAGATAATAATGCCGCTTGCTGCTCAACAATCCGTGTAACTGTAAGCTGGGCAAATGGGCGGGGTGGGTGGGTTTTGGCGCCCTTCGAAACGTGGGTATATACCCTGTGCGCAACCGGCAACGGGTATCTTGCGTATTTATAACAACGGGAGAGTCCATGGAATAGCAGGATTTGATCGAATCTGTCGGCAGAAAAATTGACAACTATCGATTTATACTTATCTAATTTAAAATCGATAATTATCGATTTTCACTCATCTACTTTCATATCGGTAATGATCGATGTTAACTTATCGACTTTCGAATCGATAATTATCGTTGTTACTCAACTAATTTGAAGTCGATGGCAACCGATTTTAACTCATCGAATTTGAAATCGATAACTATTGATTTTGACATTTTGGCAAGTGAAGAATAATCGATTTTTACGTAACCTGTTTAAGATCGATAGGTGCATAGCCTTGTTAATATCGATAACTATCGATTTGGCATAATTTGATAATTATCGATTTCTGCATATTCAATAAAAGGTCGATAACTATAAATTTTTGCAAAATTATAAGGTATCTGCTCAGTCGGTCTCTCTCGATTAGCTGTCGATATTGGCATGACATAAGATCTATAAAGGCGTCAAGCAAATCTTCGACAGGCTCCTCAGTGGACCACATTTTTATTGGGCTAAACATAACGCGTAATGCGGCTGACTATAACAATTTGATTGGGTCTGGACTTCCTGTTGGCAGCTGCCCGTTGCAGTTGCCAGTTGCCAGTTGCAGCTGTGGCAAAGGCAGCCACAATGAAAGTAGAAGCCAGGAGCGGAATAGGGGCTAGCTGGGCGCCCAAAAGAGGGCGCATATTGCAGTTGAATGGTCTAGGAAATGAAATCAAATTACACGTAACTTCTTAATTGTAAGACTAGGGCAGTGACTCTCAAACGCTTTGGTATCTATAAACTCTTGTATGCCATGAAAATTTCCTACAGATCGGACAACAAGCACCGAAGTTAGTCGACGCTGCGCTTAGGGTATTTGCTAGTCGGGCATTAAAGAACTGTTACCTCTTGTAGATCTTCATTTAGAGCACAAAGAAATACTGAAAGTGCTCGCTTATTCTTCTCTCTTCTGGTTCTTCTCTCAAGGACCAACAACCGCAAATACCTTCTCTGCTTTTGGGCGCCCCTTTGGCTTTTGGGCCCAATGGGCCTGAACCGCCACCGCGTCGCTCTGAATGTTCGTTATCATTTCTCTGGCTGCGGGTGTTTACGTCTTGATTTTGTTTACTTTACCTTCACTTTTTTAGCTGGTCGCCTCGTCTGGTCACACTCAACACATTACAAAGCACGTGCGATGGGAAGCAGAAATTGGAGGTGATTTGCATAACGGAAGTGAAGCGTACGGCGCGTGAGTTTTTCAGCTTATTAAGCTGAAAATAAGAATTGAATTAACTTTAATTTGCGCATTTAAATAGATTTTAATTTACCACCCACCCGACAAAAGAAGCTGAAAACAAAACAAGTCTCAAGTTCAAATTACACAACTCGCGCAATTAGCGGCCAGAATTTGGCCAATGCGGAAACATGGACACAAATCTTGGGCCGGATCTGAGCCTAACAACAAGCATAATCTAATTAGCAGCGATTATTTATGGCGTACTGACTGAAAAGGTCGCGCCCCAGCCCCCGAACTCTGAGCTCATGCTGCACGACCGACCACATACAAAATGTATATGCCCCATTGACGCAGTCGAGCGCATCGCCGACCTATTTGTCAGCGACGGGCCCTTAAGCTGGTGCACGCCAAAACCGTTTGCGAATTCTAAACGAAATTTGCCTGCAGCGCCTTGCGCAGCCTTTTACTGTGTCTTGGCTGAGATTATCGCGGGTCAGTTTAATAAGTTTAATAATAAGCAAACATAAGAAATTTTGAATACGTACCAGTTTTGTTATGCTGCCGATTCCTTCATATTTTAGGCCGCCGTCTCCTCCTCCAATGTAAGGGCCGCTGCCTACCGCATGGTTAAAATCGCAGTCTCTCAATTTGAAGCCGCCGTCTCGCCCTCCATTCTTAAATCGCTTTCTTCGCCATCGTAAAAGGCGACTCCTTCTTTGCTCAAGCTGCCGTCTACTCCTTTGCCTAAGTTGAAGCCGTCTCATCTCCACCTCCTCCACTTTAAGTGAAGCCCCTATGTTTTTTCTCAGGCCTTATATGAATTCATGAGAATCGAGTTCCAATCAGTCAGTCAGTCAATCAGTCAGTCATTCGGTCAATCAATCAGTCAGTCAGTCTCATTCAATCGATCGGTCAGTCAATCAGTCAGGACAAACACTTTTATATGTAGAGATATAAACTTTCTTAAACCCATATATGGCTTGATAAATGCTAAAACCATTTGGGAATTCTAAATGAAATTTGTTTAAGGCGCTTGCGCTCTGCTTTCTAAAACTGATCTTTGAGTTAAATCATTTAAAAACATTTGTAGCTTATAATTTAATTCATTAGAAAAATACAAACAAAAAGTGCATATTTTGTTAATAATTTAAACATTGATTTTAAATATAAAAAAAATATTCGTATATATAAATTATTATTATCAAAAAAAATCTAAGCTAAGAATGAAAAATGGATTTGAACCCGCTCGCTAGATACGAACTGCGTTTGCTGTGGACACAAATGCAGATGTATCCAATGCTGGAGGAGGATTGAGATGGGCAAAGCTCGAACTAAGCTCGCTTGGGAGACGTAGAGCAGAGATTGGGTTGGAAGTTGATTGGGATTGGGTTGTGATCGGGTTGGAAACGGGTTGGGAGCAGGGACTAAGCAGGGATTGCTGGGATCGGATTGGGGTTGAGTTGGGGGCGGGGACTTAGTAGTAGGGCGCCTGGAACTCGCGGCTGGGCGGTGGCAAGTAGGCAGTTTGTGTGGTGGGCGAGTGGACGTGGACTTGGAGTATGCTGGACTGTGGGTACTCGAGGAGCTGCTGCTGCTGCTGCTGTTGCAGCTGGAACTGCTGCTCAAACTGGCCGTGGCCGTAGAACTGGCCCTGCCCTGAATATTCAAAGTCCTGCTGCTGCTTGTGCGACTGCTGCTCCGGCCACGCCCTGTGCATGCTATAGATGGGCGGCAGCTCAAAGGAATTCGATTGCATTTGAACAAAGTTGGCGGCATCGCGTTCTGGCTGGGGCACAGCAAAGGGCTGGCGCTGATAGCGCTCGGGCAGCGCCTGGCCAATCAGCTGAGCACCTCGCTGACCAGACTCCAGACGGCGATCATGCTGCGCGCCAGCAAATAGATTGTCAGCTTGACCAGGCTGACCGCCTGCTGCAGCACCAGCAGCAGCTTGATGATTGGCGGCGTATTGAAATGTACTCAGCTGTTGCTGTCGGGCATCCTGCTGCTGCTGTTGCTGCTGCCACGAATCCCCGCCAGGTGCCTGCTCGTAATACTGCATGCTATATGGTCCATTGTAACCCGTCTGGGGTCGGCTGCCAAAGCTGTGCTCATACGGCAGCTGCTGTTCCGCCGGCGGCTGGACGGGATTCGGCTCCCAGTGGCCGGTGGTGGTCACCGCCTCGGTGGTCAGCTCGCTGGCCGCCGGCAGATATTTGTGTGCCGGTCCATTATAGCGATAGCCATTCCGATTGGTCGCAGTTGCATCAAAGTGCTTGGCGCTCAGCGAGGGCTGAATGCCGTGTACGACGGCCAGGCTGGGCGCGCAGGCATAGAGTGCAGCCAATGCAATGTATAAAATGGCCTGTAAGCAGTTATTATTGTTAGCTGGGTCACACTTTATATTCACCGTTACTCACAGTGCTCCGTTTCATGCTGATTGTTTTATCCTGGTCGCCGAGTGTGTGCGTGAATGCTGCTGCTCAGACAATGGCCAGCCAAATGTTGGCTACAATACTTTTTATAGCGCTGATTCGTCTAACTCGTGCGAATTTATCATCGAATGGCCAAGATCTGAGCGTGTGTGTGTGCGCGTTGGCAGCACTTGAATCACGCTTTTTGTTACTACAAAGTGTGCCACAATAATATTATAATTATATTACTTACTAATACGTTGATGTGTAAACGGGCAGACACAACAATTGTCGCGTATCGCATTATCGCAATGAATGGCCCGAGAGATTTTTATGCGACAATTTGGCGTCTAGCTGGCCGTGACCGTGGCAAACATTTAACAATGCAGACACTGCAGACGTGTGAAATGACTTTCTTTTGCCATTCATGCATTTGTGGCCGGAAATGCAAATGGCATTTGTCTGTTGTCTGTTGTCAAGTGGCCAGCATCTCGTGCCGTTAGAATTCAAAAATCGATAACGATAGCTTTAGGCATTACAGGCATTTTACAGTGTGGGCAGCACTTTTACTTTTCTGCTGCTGCTGCTGTTGTTGTTGTTGTTGTTGTTGTGTTTCACAATCGTAATCGATGAATTTGAATGATAGCCGCGTGGGCACCAGCACTTATTTGTACTCGCCCAACAATAACAATTTTTTAAGTGGACCAGCAAAAATTTCAATGCCAAACAATTTTTGACTGACAGCAACGACAGCGCCTACTCGAATAGTCCCATATTATTTATAGAAAGTTCCTTAAACGGCGCAAAGCGCTTGCACGTGAACAAATCAATAAAATCAATATCCAGCATTGGCTGTGCCTGTAAAATGTCATTAAGTATTTTTATGCGACTACAATTGTTTAAAGTGCAGTTCTACGTTTGTCAATCATTATTTAAAGCTAATTTGACTTTGTCTAATTTCCCAAATAGCAAAAATTTCCTTTCTATAGGTAATTTTTTTTTTTCCATTTCGTTTAGGTCAAGTATCGAGTAGTGCGAAAATATCGATACATATATTAGAGCACGAATCTGCCATCATGTTTTGGTATTTTTTTGTGCAAATAACTACAAGTTTTCCAATGCAACGCAATGCCATGCCTGCAAACCCGTTGCATTTCGAATTAGCAATTGTTTGCTGTGTACAGAAATACAATACAATCAATAGTCAGCATAATGCCACCAGCAACTATCGATATATTTTCTAATATCGCAAGCAACGATACGCATTGTTAAAAGTATCGTGCTGAAGCTGTCGCTATGCCCGATGTATCGATGTATTTTTATTTTACATGGCCACTACATTGCTGTGAAGTCGCCGCTTTGAAAGCGTTTACGGGAAGAAAAGTGCAAAATAAAAAGTTTTTATTTTAATTATAGTTCAAGTGTATATCCCATGTAAGTAGAAATATGTATATTATTTAAAGCGCTGCTCAAAATGCAATACGAGGCATTTACATTTGGTTTTTCCTGTTAGCCACGGCTTTGCCATATACACATATATCAATTTTTTTTTCTCCCGTCAAAGACTAGCTGTGTATATGTAAGCGCGCGTGTGTGTGTGTGTGTGCGGTCAATTTTTTGTGTTGGTATAGTTTTTTTTTTTCTTCTTTTTTTCTGCCCGCTGCGGCGGCGGCTTTTACTGCCGCTTCCACGCAATAGTTTTGCATTTAGCGTTTGTCGGCGCGGAGCGCCCCTTTTTGAGTGTGGTTGTGTCATAAATTTGTTAATTTAATGTTTTAACACGCCACAAGTGCACACACATACACACACAACACGCACACACACACACACACACAGACGCTGTCCCGTGCAGAAAAGCACGCATACAAACACAAAAGTGCAATCAAAGCCCAAACGGGAGGCCCCGCAGCAGCCGAATCAGCTACTCCTTTAGCCTTTATTGTTGTTGTTGTTTTTTCGCTGCACTCGGGGCACTTCGTGGAATTTAGGTGCCTGGATCCGGGCCCGAGAGCCCGGATGCCGAGCTCGAGCTCGAGCTAGCAACAGCAGCCGAAGCCGAAGCCTGCAAAACGCGCAGCAACATGTACATAAAATACGTGCAATCGACACAATCCTGTCACAGTGACGTTCGAAAGTTTGCGCACGGCGGAGTTGTGTCCGCCTGCTTGCTGCACTTGACAGATTTTGCACAGCAATTTTCAGCTTGCTTTTTTTTTTGTTCTTTCTTTCTTTTTTTTTGTTTTTTCTGACACAAGAAATCAAATTTATTCAACTTGCAGGCAACTAAAGGAAGCTAGAGCATAGTTGTAGGAAAAATTGATTCCCAACCCAATCATGCCCAAGCCGGACAGTAAAAAGCAAAGGGCCAAATATAAAACGGAGGAAGACGAGGGCTCAGACGTTGAGGACAAGGTAAATGCATTTTCCAAATCCCAAAATCGCATATAACAAAATTGTATTTGCACTTTTGCTAATTTCCTTATATGTTTCTTTCTATTTTCTCTTCAAACAGAACTCGGACGATGCCGTAGAACAGGAGGTCGATAGCCAGCAAGGTGGCGAGGACATGGAGGCTGACAGCGATGATGACGATGATGACGACGACGATGATGACAAGGACGACGACGAGGACAAATCAGAGGACGAACGCAATGACAACAAGAAACGAACAACGGAAAAAAAACAACAGCAGCAACAGCAGCAGAAACCGCAACATGAACTGGAACAATCTGATGATGACGACAGCGATGACTCCGAAGAGGACAATGAGCAGGACAACAACGGCAACAGCAACAGTGAACAGCAGCAGCAGCAGCAGCATCAGCAACCCCCACCCCAGCAACAGCAGCAGCAGCAACAACAACAGCAACAGCATCAACAGAACAAACAGAGCAACGCCAGCGGAGGTGCGGTCGCTGGCGCTGCTGCCGTCGCTGCCGCCACCGCTGCTGAGGATCGTACGAGTGCAACGAATCTGATCATCAACTATTTACCACAGGATATGACAGATCGTGAGTTGTACAATTTGTTCAGCAGTTGTGGCTCCATCAATACATGCAAAATTATGCGAGACTACAAGGTAAGCAAGTAGTGGGTGGCGCACGGGCAGGCGGACGGGGCGGGTGATGTGTGGGAGAGTAGCTCGCACGGATACCGTGTGCCTGTCCCTGTCGCACATTGTAATTAAATAGATACACACACACATAATGCAAGCGCATGTTATCAGCATGCATCTCGCTCTATTTGGCTAACGCATGTCATCTCTTTTTCGCAGACCGGATACAGTTTTGGCTACGGTTTCGTCGACTACAACTCGGAGGCGGACTCCGAGGACGCGATACTAAAACTCAATGGATTCTATGTGCGCAATAAGCGCTTGAAGGTGCGTGAACACACACACACAACAACAACAACAACAACAACAACGATGCACAATTAAAACAAACACTTTCCACTTTGAATTCAACTGGTGCTTACTTTATACTCATGTGTTTTTCTTTTTTGTTTCTCGTATGGCAGGTATCTTATGCACGACCTGGCGGGCAATCGATCAAGGACACCAACCTGTACGTGATCAATCTGTCCCGCAACATCAACGATGATCAGCTGGATCGGATATTCTCCCCATACGGCTTGATCGTCCAACGTAACATCTTGCGGGACAAGCTAACAGGTCGCCCACGAGGCGTAGCATTTGTACGGTAAGCCGAGACATTCAAATCAATTGAAATCTACTAGAATATGTAGCTTATTTAATCATAAAATATCGTAAACATATTGAAAATCCCATTTAAACGGTGAAGAAAAGTGATTTGTTTAGAAAAATGTTAAATTACGCACACTGTTAAGTGAAAATGTAATGCATTTTTATGTTAACACTAATGTGCATTCAGAGTGCTGTTAATTTAAGCTGTGTATACTAAGTGTTGGGTATAGAAAATACGGTGGAAGAGAAAAAAAAAGTGATAAGGGGCTCAAGTAGGAGCCCCATTTCCAAATGTTTCCTCCCATTCGAAAGATTAGCTGGACATTTACAGGCATTACGTTTCTCTACGAGTGGGAAAGCGAAACATTTAGTGCAGATAAATTTTGACTGTGTTTTACCCTGAATCAGTCTTTTGTCAACTTTTTGGAAATTTCCAGTGCCAGAGGCTGGTAGCAGGACGTAGCAGTAAGCTTCGCGAAGTTCTGCTGCTGGCCAACTAAACTAGAAAAACTCTTTAAATAATTTATAGTGCGCAGAATATAGACCTATTCGAAAAATGTTTGTCTATAGAAATTGAATCTTTTTCGGGAATATCGTAGAGAAATGTTGATAAGATTATGCTCCTATGAGTACATAAGCATATCTAAAGGGAACTTTCAGGAGATATCTCACTCCTCTGTCAGCTATGGAATATATATTGATGTGATCCGTTCCGATTTCGACATATGCACGGACTTATATGGCAGCTTTTGTAACGATAGCTTTGAAATTTTGAGATAAGTTTGCATTCAATGGCAAAGTGATTAGGAGCATATGAGGGCGAGAATAAGTGAGGCTTTAGATACTGCATGCTGCAGAGCCCAACTAGTGGGGATTGGCCTGGGATTAGAAATACGCAGCAACAGGCAGAATTTACATCAATTTTAGCAGACCTATTTATTATTTGTCCAAGTGTTTCGACGAGTTCTCTTCACTCATGCTTAAAAGTAAAAGACTTTAACTCATTTGTTGTCTTATACCTAAGCTAACTATGTGTTACTGCATCTTGAAAGGACAATTATAGTCTTGAAAAAATAACTTATAGTTCGATTATGAACGCCTTCAAAGCATCATCTATGGGCATATAATTTACGGGAACCTGCTTGCCAAGTTCTTCGTTTGCACCAAAAATACGCTTTTAACTCATTTACAATGCGTTCTTCTCCGAATTCAACATTTCAAATTTAACAGAAATTATCCTTAACGACTTGCCTTGCATTACATTTTTCTTTCTTCTAAACTTTTTAATATTTATTAATATCTTGCCAATAAAGAAATTCGTATTTTTAAAGGCATTTTGAATAATCTTTACAATATGCTTGCATTAACAGGAAACTAACATTAAGGTGTTAAGCTTAACATATGCTTAACATTTCAGATAATGTAAACTTCATGTTAATTTCTTAAGTTTATTGATATTAGTTTTTATTTTATGCTTAAACAATTTGATGTGCATTTAAATTCAACTGTCCCCCTCTCTCCGTGCAGTTACAACAAGCGCGAGGAGGCGCAGGAAGCAATCAAGGCGCTCAACAATACGGTGCCCGAGGGCGGCTCACAGCCAATCTGGGTGCGGCTGGCGGAGGAGCACGGCAAGGCGAAGGCCGCGCAATTTATGTCACAAATTGCCGGCGGTCCGCACATGGGCCCACCGCAGCAACAACCGCCGCCCCACCACATGAATCCCCACATGCAGCAACAGCAGCAGGCGCACCAGCATCATTCGCACCACCAGCAGCAGCACCATCAGCAGCAGCAGCAACAGCAGATGCATCATCAGCAGCAGCAGCACCAGCAGCAGCAGCAACATCATCATCATCATCACAGTTTGCCACCACCGCCACCGCATCACATGCAACAGTTGCATCATCATCCGCACGGAGGAGTAGGAGGTGGCGGCGGGATCGGTGTCGGTGTCGGCGTCGGTCTGCCACAGCCGATGCACGGCGGTGGCGGGGGCGGCGGCGTCGGCTATCACCATATGGCACATAGAGGTAGATCAAATAGAACAACACGATCTCAAAAACCGCATCCATATAACCATGCACAGAAATTTATTTAAAACAAAATTAATTTCTTTACACAATATTAGCTGCATCTCACAGGTGAAGTGTTCATGCTGCCATTGCCTATCAGAATATTGCCAATGCCCCGACCACAAGCACTGCAGCGGCAGCAGCAGCAGCCGCAGCAGCACCGCCGTCAGCAGCAACAGCTGTGCGACGGCAAAAGCGTTGCAGCTGCAACTGCAGCGGCGCCCACGGCGGCGGCAGCAGCAGCAGCCACAACGGCGGCGGCGGCAATGGCCAACAGCAACAACAACAGCACAACAGCAACGGCAGCATCAACAACAGTAACAGCAAATACAGTAATTCAACCACAACAGCAACAGCAACAACATCATCAGCAGCAGCAGCAGCAGCAGCAACAGTCATAAATGCAACTGCAACAACAACAACATTAGCTGCAGCTATACACAGCAACAGCGACAATGCTGCAACAGCCACAGCAACTGCAACAGCAACTGCACTGGCAGCAGCAACAACCCTTACAGCGACTGCAATTGAAACAGCAGCAGCAGCTGCAACAACAACAACAACAACGACATCAGCAGCGTTGACAGTTGCAACAACTTTAGCTGCAACAATACCCGCAATGACAACAACAACAACAACGAGCTATATAACGAATGCAAACAGAGTTGCCACCGCCAATGCGTCTGCAAATGCAACAGCAGGAACAGCAACACTGCTGCAACAGCAGCGATTGCTGCGACCGCTGGAACTGCCACGAGCTCAGCAACTCCAACAACGGCCACAGCAGCAGCAACACCTGCAACAACAAATGCCACAACGGCCACAGCACCAGCAACAACAGCCGCAGCAGCAACAAAAACCACAACAACAGCAACAGTTGCACCAACAAAGGCCACAGCAGCAACAACAACGGCCACAGCAGCAGCAACAGTTGCCCCCACATATGCAACAACGGCCCCAACAGCAACAACAAAGGGCACAGCAGCAGCAACAACGGCCGCAGCTGCACCAACAATGGCCACAGGTACAGCAACAACGGCCACAGCAGCAACAGCAGCTGCAACAACGGCCACAGCAGCAACAGCAGCTGCAACAACGGCCACAGCAGCAACAACAACGGCACCAACAGATACAGCAACGGCCGCAGCAACGCCAACAATTGCCACAGAGGCCACAGCTACAGCAACAACGGCCTCAACAGCTGCAACAAAGACCACAGCATATGCAACAATGGCCCCAACAGCATCAACAACGGCCGCAGCAGCAACAACGGCCCCAACAGCGGCAACAAAGACCGCAGTTGCACCAACAACGACCTCAACGGCCGCAACAGCAACAACAAAGGCCGCAGTTTCATCAACAACGGCCACAGCTGCAACAACAACGGCCGCAGTTTTATCAACCACGGCCACAACTGCAACAACAACGGCCACAGCTGCATCAATATCGGCCACAACTGCAACAACAACGGCCACAGCTGCATCAATATAGGCCACAGCTACATCAATATCGGCCACAGCTGCATCAATATCGGCCACAGCTGCATCAATATCAGCCACAACAGCAGCAGCAGCAGCCTCAAATGCCACAATTTCAGCAGGAAGTGCCACAAAATCCACCGCAAATGCCACAATTTGAGCAGGAAGTGCCACAATATTTAATGCAAATGCCACAATTTGAGGAGGAACTGCCACAATATTTACCGCAAATGCCACAATTTGAGGAGGAACTGCCACAATATTTAATGCAAATGCCACAATTTGAGGAGGAACTGCCACAATATTTACCGCCAATGCCACAATATCCACCAGAAATGCCACAATATCCACCAGAAATGCCACAACAACCACAGCAACAACAACCGCAACAACCGATGAACATGCAACCTTTACCGTTGTCGGGCTTGCAACAAATTTATGCGTATGATAGCAATGGCTATTTAACGCCCACTCCGTACGCTTTGGCGCCCGCCCATTACGCGGCGCTCCCGTATGCTGTGGTGCCCTATGCGACAACAACAACGACGACAACAACGACAACGACATCGGTTCATGGTGGCAGCTGTGTCTATTATCATTATGCGAATGCCAGCTATGTGAATAGCATTAACTATTACGATCACAATACCGGTCAGATGTGCATCATGGGCGTGGTCTATGTGGCATATAAGAGCAACAACAGTCCCGAGGCGGCGGCAGCAATTGCGCGGGCGCAGGCCCAGGCCCAGGCTTTTGCCATGGCCCAGGCGGCGGCGGCAGCAGCAGCAGCTGCAGCGGCAGAGGAAGAATACGAGGAGTATGTGGAGGAGGAGGAGCAGTATGAGCCGGCTGAGGAGGAGGAGTATGAGACTGAGGAGGAGCATGATGAGACTGAGGAGGAGCATGATGAGAATGAGGCGGAGCATGATGAGAATGAGGCGGAGCATGATGAGAATGAGGCGGAGCATGATGAGGCGGAGGAGGAGCATGATGAGCCAGAGGAGGAGGCAGAGCAGGAGCAGGAGTTGTTGCAGACGCACAGCGGACGCGGCGGCGGTGGCAGCTCGTAAAAAGCATCGAAAAAAGTAAAGAGAAGATGAAAATACAAAACAAAAGAGAACTAAAACTTTTTTACCTATTTAATATATATATATCTAAGATTTGTTGTTGTTGTTGTTGTGTGTAAATCCCTTCCTCCCCCCCCCCCCCCCCCCAAAAAAAAAAAAATGAATCTATGTGCTGAATGTAAAACAAAGAGAACCCCAAAACATATGTATAGATATACGCTATAGATCTATATATATATATATATATATTTATATATATATATATATATTTATACAAATATGTGTGTATATATATGCAGGCAGCCAACCCAAAAAATATTTATATGCCAAACACAGAAGAGAACAAAAGCACGCAAAAATTATATATATATATATTGAAAAACGAAACAGAAAACCTTTTAGAACCATGTGGATACAGATCATGAAAAAGGCTAACTACTATAAAAATACGTTTTGGGTTACGGCATTCAAAATTAAAACAAAAAAGAAACAAAATTTATATATATATATATATATATATATATATTAATATATATTTTTAACAAGAAACTGAACTCGAAAGCAATTGGCAGCAAGAAGAATTCGAAAAATGCAAAATGAAAGCGAATCGAACACAAAAGAAACAACAAGAGAAAACAACTTGCAAATATGTAACACACACACTCACACACACACACACACACACATATATGCACACACACTTGTATTTGTTTAGCAATAATTATTGATTTAAATTTTTAATTGTTCAATTTGACCAACTAAAACGAATTTTATTATTTTGCCTGTGCCCAGGCACACACACACACACACACACAACCTCTAAGGCACACACACGCCCAGACACAACACACATACACACTCACACTCCAATTGCTATGAATTTGTATAAAAGAAAACAAAAAGGCAAAATAAACATTGATAAAATGCAAAAAATTGTAGACTACGCGCAATTCAATGAATTTAAAAATATATATATATATATTTAAGTGTATATAATATATATATATAGATATTCATAAATCGGATTACATTATATATATATATACATGCTGATAATATTTGTATTGATGTAAAGATCTATTGATGTATTGATGTACAGCAAACAAACTATGTGTCGTGTGTGAGTGTGTTTACAAATGTGTCAATCAAAGCTGATTGATGGAAACTACGAATTTGTTATGTGAGAAAACGCAAACAGAGCGAACGAAAAACAAAGTGAAAAAGCGTAGCTAAAAAGCAAAAGAGAGTAAAATTACCTTTAAAGCAGAATCGATTTGATATACGGACTTTTTTTTGAATAACTTAAAAACTAGTCTTATAGCATTATAATAGTTAAGACATTTTTTTGCGCAACAAAAAAGAAAACAAAAGATCTAAATTTAAAGAAATGAAAAATATATAAAATACATGTACTAAAAATAATAATAAAACAAACTACAAAACAGAACACTAAATATTAGAGAATATGCTAAAAATTTGTATATAGAAAAACCATTTTTGTACCAGTACGAAAAAGAAAGAGACAGCGCGAGATAGAAAGAGAGAGAGAGAGAATGAGCGAAAGAGAGAAAGTGATAGAGCCAGAACAGTTACAATAAAAACAAAATGGCGTCCGCACAGCATGAAACAGTTAGGAGCTAGTGCGTTTTTTGCACATGCTAATGAGCGAGATGGCAAGCATTGGAGGAAAGAGACAGATATATACATACACACATATATATATATATACATATATATAGTTAATGACAGGTGAGGTACAGTCAGACAAGAAATGGGGGCTTATAAAACTAAGTTTTAAGTATGCGTGTACTCTAAGTAAATTTTATGTTAAATGTAATGGATAATAATGTTTTTTGTTCGTTTCGAATAGTTGAAATTGTACATTAGCAGCAGCTGCATAGAACAAGATGAACTTTCTACAGGTTATATATAATATTGTCGTCGCAACTGAAGCGTAACTGAAATCCATATAAATATATATATATACATAAACTTATATATATATATATATATATCTTTATATATATCTACATAAATGTATACAATACAATTGTTTATTTACAAGCAAAACTTTGATGGTCGGTCAATAATGTCTAGTATACTACAAAAAAAAAAAAAACTGAATCAAGGTTTATAAATGGCAAATTGATGTATGTATTATTTTGCATGTGTCAAACCGAAACTACTACAAGTATGTGTAATAAATGTGTTTCAAACCAAACAATATAATGCATTTTAATGTTCATTTAAAACTTTAGTTTTCCTCGGGACTCATTCAAATTGCGCGCCCTTTGAGCTATGTTAATGGGACTGTTAATAACATGGGCGGCGCTGTTATTAACATGCCAGTGTTAGCAATACCAGTGACAGGCGTGTGGTCACACTGACTGACATTGGAAAATACCGTGTGGAAAAATACCAGAAGTGATTCCAATAAAGGCAATTAGCGCAAAAAAATAAAGAAAACTAACGCAACGTAAAAAAACAATAGCAGGACGACACAAATCCGACACCAGAAACGTGAGTTCGATTTTGATGATATACAAGTGCTGAGCCAGCAGCAGCAGCAGCAGCAGCATAGTGCACACAGACGGAACGAGTGCGTGCAATCGGAGACAACGCAACGCAGAGACTGGCAGACGACGACGACGACGACGGCCAATTTATTTAGCCAATGCCTTGAAACGGAATACGCAATAAATTGTTCGACGGCGACGACCTTGCCCATTGCGATTGTTGAGGCGGGCATTGCGTGGCGCGCGTCAAGCGCCAGACTCCCAAGCCCCCAAAAGCAAAGGACAATTCCAAAGCAAATTGCATCGGCCAGGCAACAACAACAACAACAACACAAAGAGGCAAAAAGAAGGCAACAACAATAACGATAACGCTTCCGATTAACGATAACAGCAGCTGCAGCATCCGAAGATGCCACAGTTGAGAGCCGCTGCCGCTGAGGCGGCCGCTGCTGGCGGCGCCGGCGCCCAGCCGCTGGTCAAGATTGGCCACTATCTGCTCGGCGCAACGCTGGGCACCGGCACCTTTGGCAAGGTGAAGATCGGCGAGCATCAGATCACACGTCTGAAGGTCGCCGTCAAGATACTCAATCGCCAGAAGATCAAGAGTCTGGATGTTGTCTCCAAAATCAAGCGGGAGATACAGAATCTGAAGCTCTTTCGCCATCCGCACATCATCAAGCTGTACCAGGTGAGCAAATCCGGCGCCAACACCAACACACACACACACACACCCCATATACCCGCCCCCAGTCCTGCCCCTCAGCTAGCTAGGGCGCGTGTTGCCGTGTCACGTAGCCGCAAACATGAAATACGACGAGCCCTAAATAAGCACATTTATGCATTCCTTATTATTTACTTAGCCTCCATAACTTGTGCGTAAACAAATGCAGCCATGCGGCTGGACCGATTGCCGGATACCCTGCACATTGGTTGGGTGCTCGAATGAGGCTGCAAGGAGCTGGCTTGGGCGTGGTCACTGTGATTTCAAAACTGTGGGAGTCACAGCTGATTGTAAAGAATGCGTCCAACTTCCCAAACTTGGCATCACTCTCAAACTGTGGCAACCAACAGTTACTGCAGGCGAAGAGGAGGCTAGCGAGGCTTCATATCCAATTAGATGATCCCTAATGGATCATAGATCCTAGTAATTGCTGTGCTTGCAGCATTCAACCCAAAATTGTAACAACCCAAACTTGGCAGCACTCTAAAAGCTATGGCTTTCAAACTGTAGCAAACAAGAGCTTATGCCATTGCAGAGGATAGAGTAGACCTGGCGGGCTAATCTCTAGCTTGATTCTTTAGGCAGTTCATATCAAGTTACTCTAAAACTGTAATCCTATCTATTGGTCATAGATCCAGGTAGCTTTCACGAAGTCAACAGTTATTTTGCGCAAATTCGCTGATTCTGAAACTGTAACTTCATAAAACTGGCAGCACTCTTAAAGCTGTAGCCCTCAAACTGTAGCGTAAACAATGCGAATCGAGGAGAGGGCTCGAGTTTGGTGACTGTAAAACTGTAAGGCTGGTCGCGGCTAGTTAACATGTCTGTGTATCTCTAAAAACGATCATATGTATGCTAAAGGAAAGATAAGAAACCCATTGACACAATTACTTTCAAACTGTTGGCTCTAAAACTGTGATCGACCGTAAACAAAGAAACTTATCAGCTGAATTGCATTTCACTTGAGCCGTAAAATCGATCATCAATAATCACGACTTTCAAACTGTGAACATAAAAGGTGAGCCCCTAAAAGTGGCATTTTTTCAATGTGGTTCCACAATAGTTTAACATAATGTTTCTCTTTCTCTTTAAAAATAGATCATGAACAGTTAGCGAAAGAGTATACGGGCGCAATGACTCTCAAACTGTGAACGTAAAGCAGGCCCTTTAGGCAGGCGTGGCTCAAGAAATGACTTCAAAACTGTGGCATACATAGAAATCCAAGAAATCGTTAGACTAAATGAACCAAGCTACCCTATTTCGCTTCGCCCTGGGCACAGGGTATTCGAACTAATCGTTAATTATTGTGAGAATCTGCTGTTAAACAAGAAATATCTCTGAGACTGTGCCGCACATGCAACAGATGCAACAGAAATCGTTGAGACTATCGAAATGTATATACCCTGTTTTTGTTGTTGGCCATACTAAGCCCATACTTTGTTGTCAACGGAATCCGCTCTTAAGTGGCATCCGATACGCAGCTGTGCGAGCAATTGCGATCGTTTATTTTTCTGCGAATCAATTTGTAATCAATTCCGGAGAGACGTCGCCCCGCACGGCTAGGCAAATCGTACAGAAACTATTAAATGCATATTTAACCTACTTAAATGTTTATGCACATGTGCACAAACAATAAACATAAACAATATAGATGGAAGCCAAGTCTCTGGCTGGCGGTTGAACAGTTTGCATCGAGTTTACGCTCAGAACACAACCTGAATCTTTCCTTGGATATTGAACCCTGTTCTGAATGCACTTTCTACTGGCTGGCAAAAGCTTTGAATAGGTTCCCAATGAAGATAAGACTAGGTTCCCAATGAAGATAAGACTAGGTTCCCAATGCAGATAAGACTAAGACTTCTATGCCTTGAATTTCTTTTAGAGATAGCTTTGATATGCTGCTGTTTTGACAAAGCCTTTGCCAATTATGTCAAATGTAAACTTAGATAAATTGTTAGTCTAATCTAAATTGAGAAAGGCATAGATTAGGCTATTCAATACCGGCTTTCTTCGGTCAATACAATTTCTACCTTGAATATGTTTATGCTATTCTATACATATATTCTCCGCATCCACAATTTATATATATCCCGCTTTACCATGCCCACATAGAGCATTTGATATAGACTCGGACAAGCCAGTTGGTTTTCAATTATTATGAAAATGCGGTAAAAGCGAGTGAAGAGCTGCAGCTGCAACGTTTCCTAACCATTTTCCGTTAACCATTTTCATGCACTTCTTTCTAAATTACTTTTATACATAAATTGCAATACATAAAGATGGGCTTCAAATTGAGAACTCGAAAATATTTTTTTCTAATCATGAAATTAAACTAATTTTAGGGCTGTCAAGCAGATAATTCCCATTATTCTAGCAGATAATTACCATTATTTGGCAAATAGTTACCAACATATTAGATAATTCCCTTTATTTCAGCAGACAATTTACTTTATTACAGCAAGCGGTTCCCTCTTATTTAAGCAGACTATTCCCATTATTCCAGCAGACAATTCCCTTTATTACAGCAAACAGTTTCCCCTTATTCCAGCAGATAATTCCCTCTATTCCAGCAGACAATTCCCATTATTTCAGCAGACAATTTACTTTATTACAGCAAGCGGTTCCCTCTTATTTAAGCAGACAATTCCCATTATTTCAGCAGACAATTCCCTTTATTACAGCAAACTGTTCCCTTTTTCCAGCAGACAATTCCCATTATTCCAGCAGGTAAATCCCTTTATTCCAGCAGACAATTCCCCCTATTCCAGCAGACAAATACCTTTATTCCAGCAGACAATTCCCATTATTCTAGTAAATAATTCCCATTATTCTAGTAAATAATTCCCCATATTCGATTAAACCACTTGCTAATCGTCAAATCTCTCTTCTGTTTTTGGCAGGTCATCTCGACGCCCTCGGACATATTCATGATAATGGAGTATGTGAGCGGCGGGGAGCTGTTCGATTATATTGTGAAGCATGGCAAGCTGCAGGAGCATCAGGCGCGACGCTTCTTTCAGCAGATCATATCGGGCGTAGACTATTGCCACAGGCATATGATTGTCCATCGGGACCTGAAGCCGGAGAATCTGCTGCTCGATCACAATATGCACGTGAAGATCGCCGACTTTGGGCTGTCGAACATGATGCTCGACGGTGAATTCTTGCGCACATCGTGCGGCTCACCCAACTATGCGGCGCCCGAGGTGATATCCGGCAAATTGTATGCCGGACCCGAGGTGGACATCTGGTCATGCGGCGTCATACTGTATGCCCTGCTCTGCGGCACGCTGCCGTTCGATGATGAGCATGTGCCTTCGCTGTTTCGCAAAATCAAATCGGGCATATTTCCCATACCGGAGTATCTAAACAAGCAGGTGGTGAATTTGGTGTGCCAGATGCTGCAGGTGGATCCGCTGAAGCGTGCCACCATTGAGGAGATCAAGAAGCACGAGTGGTTCCAGAAGGATTTGCCCGCCTATTTGTTTCCCTCCTCGATCGAGCAGGACTCCAATGTCATCGATACGTACGCCGTGGCCGAGGTGTGCACCAAGTTCGGCGTCAAGGAGTCCGAGGTGCACAATTCGCTGCTCAGCGGCGATCCGCACGATCAGCTGGCCATTGCCTATCATCTGATCATTGACAACAAACGCTTCGCAGACGATGCGGCCACACAGATCAGCGAGATCAACAACTTTTTCGTGGCCGGCTCACCGCCGCCACCCATGTCCCATTCGCCGCACGAGCCCCGCTCCAGCGGCGCCGAGCCCTCCGCCACGGTTGTTGCCGGCGCAGGTGCTTCTGGCGCCGGCGGCGGCGGCGTGGGCGGCGCTAGCGGAGGCACTGCAGCCAGTTCGGGCAGCGCCACGCCTAGCGGCGCGGCGAGCAGCGCTGCGCCCAGCATACGACCGCATCCGGAGCGCATAGCGCCGATGCGCGAACGACAGCTGGCCATGTCCGTGCAGAATACGGGTGGAGCCGCCTTTCCCGAGAAGACGGCGCGCGGCGGCACGCCCATCAAGCGGGCCAAATGGCATCTGGGCATACGATCGCAGAGCAAACCGAACGACATCATGCTGGAGGTATATCGGGCCATGAAGGCGCTCAACTACGAATGGAAGATCATCAATCCGTATCATGTGCGCGTCCGGCGTCAGAATGTCAAGACCGGCAAATTCTCGAAAATGTCGCTGCAGCTGTATCAGGTCGATCCGAAGAGCTATCTGCTTGACTTCAAATCGCTGACCAATGACGAGGTCGAGCAGGGCGACGATGTCATCATGGAGAGCCTCACACCGCCTCCATTGAGCGTCAGCGGCGCCATGCCCCAGCAGCCGACGGGCCATCATACGATGGAGTTCTTTGAGATGTGCGCGGCGCTCATCATACAGCTGGCGCGCTAAGTTCACGCCTTAACCAAAATAACGCCATCCCCTGCCCCCACCCCCTGCCCCTACCCCTTCGCACACTTTTTAATTCAGCATACGCACGCCCATGGCATGGCGTCCAGATGAGGCACAAAGTGGACTCCCAACACAATTTGGACGCCATCTCATGTTAATATTATTCTTATTATTACTATTCTAATGCTTATTATTATATTATATATATATATATACCTCTCCCCCAACCCTCCTTTGCACTTCCCCTCCCGTACCTAGGCAAGATTTGTTTTCGCTAGTTGTTTAAATTGTGTTGCTACGATTTCTGATGTCCTTTGCGTGTTTTGAATCCTTGATATTGATTTGTTTACTTTTTATGTGTGTTTTTTTTTTTTCATGCTCCTTTGTAATATTTTACATTATTTTATATTATGCTAAACAAATTGTATTTAATATGATTACATGAAGTTGCAATAATCCCCATTAACCCAATTTATTTTTGAACCCTTCGCGATATACACACACATATATATATATATATATATATATATTTTACAGGCCGTTGCTTTTTACGCCTCTTGTTGAAATCTTTTTTGTTTTCTATTTTATTATTTTTTTTTTAAATATATATATATGGTATAAGGCATAGCTAAATTACAGAAGCTTACGGCAAACAAATTCGTTATTTTAAACTGTAACAAGACAAAAAGTGGAACTAAATATACAATATATCCACATATATATATATATATATATATATATATGAATATATATACAAACATCGAGTTGCCAGCAAAAATGTTAAACAATTTGTTTCTCTACATACCCTAAGCGCAGCTAAGGAAAGGGGCATATTGGCCTGGATCAGAAGGAGCAGCTGAGGCAAGCCAGAACTTAAAAAGCTAAAGACTTGAAATTCTTAATATATGTATATATTCACCAGCTAACCCACAGACCGTGATTGCGCTTTTGATCTATCAAATTAAGGCCCTAAAAAGCGTAAGTTATTTGGCATACAATTGCAATATTTGTTTATGTTTAATAACAATTTAATTACAGAATCTGCTACCAACTATTTAAATAAAAAAAAACACACAATACTAAGGCCTTGAAACTTAAGGAGTCTTACATCAGATGGTTAGCTAACTAACTAAACTATATAGTATTATTAAGGAGTTTAGTTATTGCCATAGCTTACAGACTGGCCGTGACTCGAGGAAGCGAGCCGCAAGGTTTATTGAGCAATACGCTTGACGGCCTATTCCGATATACATTTATATATATTATCGATCAATCGATCAATTAGCCAATCTTCATGGTAATCATAATTTCTATGTTGAGCACCCGCCCCGCCGTAACCCGCTGTGCCGTGCACCAATTAAATTCTTAAGGCCGCAAAATACAATAATATCTATGTAAGAGGAGCTGCTGCTACTTCTCCTCCTCCTTCTGCTGCTACTGCTACAACTCATCCCGCTGCTGCTGCTGCTGCTGCTGCTGCTGTTGGAGCTACTGACTGTGCTGCTGCTTGCGCTTGAGCTTGTCGATGAGGGTCTCAATGCTGTTGGCATCCACCAGGCCGATGAACTTGTCCACGACGACGCCGTTGCGAAAGGCCAACACGGCGGGCACGGCCTTAACCTCAAACGTTTCCACCAAATCCAGATTGGCCTCCACATCGATGATCGCCAAATCGATTTCATTCGAATTCTCCAATAGTTCCAGCATTTTGGGCGTGAGTATTTTACAGGGATCGCACCATTCCGCATGAAAGTTCACAATTACTGGATTATCGCTGTTTATGACCTAACAGAGATAAAAACAATCGCAATTTAATAACAAAACAAAAACAAAAACCAACACCATTATCTTTATGTATTTTGGATAGTGAAGCCGAACGATTCTGACTTATTTGCATACACGCGCACACGCACAAACAACTTGATGAAGTGTTAATAGTCGACTAGCGAATACCCTGTACTGACATATGCACTTTAAGGCTTTTTAAAAAATTTTCAATTGACATTGCAGATTTGTAAACATGTTTTCTTTTTCTACATATTTGTTTGAAAAGAAGAGGAAGAAGAGAAGAACCAGTGTTTCCTTAAATAAATAAGAGTAACACTTTTGTGCAAATTTTTGCCCGATTTGGCAACCAGCTGTTTAATCCAATCGAGTGTGTATACACTTTTTTTCTTATTCCGTTATTTGTTTACAGGGTATCAGATGAGCCGCCAAATACGTACTCGCCATTGCCGAAATGCGTCACTGGTTACGGCCGGAACCGCGCACGTAGGCCAAATGGCCAACAACCAGTCGGATAGCCGCATGCCAAGCGCATTGCATAATGCTACGGCACTTGCATCCGTGTGTGAGTAAATGCAAGTGCATTCACATTCACGTACAGGTAATTATGCTTGCTAATGCTGCTCACCTTCTGATCGAAATCGTAGTGATCCTTGATCACCAGCTTCTTGTGGAGCATATGGGATTGTGAGAGGCACTTCTGTGTGGCTTTTGCCGCCTGTGGCGCCACTCGCTGGCAGCTGCTCTGGGCGCTGCTATTGATAAGGCAACAGGCCGCCAGACGTGGAGCGATGCCTTCCGCTGCGATTTTCAGCATTGTTGTAGGCAGCTACGTGTGCAAGGCGGAATCCCAATTGAGCGTCGACTGTTAACGGATTCGTGTGCTGGACGTGGTCAGAAGTGCTGCAGACGCGACGATAAGATAATTATGTATGTACAAATATTCACTGCTGTTTTCTTTAAGATACGATGGCGCAGCGGAGCGGGTGTCTCTGCGTTTGTCTGGCAAGGCTGCTCTTAAATTGAGTGTTGCCAGCTATCTTAAATATGCTCGTGCAGTTCACATGGCAGCGCTACCTACAAGCGCCATTTTTGAATGCGAGATTAAAATATTAGCAATTACCTTAATAAGTAGCTCAAATTATGCTCGGCTCTTTTTTTTTCTTTTTGCTAAAAATTAATTCATAATACTAAAGTGTAACAGTAGCCGAAAAGGCTGGCTACAGGACAGACACATTTTTTTTTAACAAAATGTGGCCACCCCAATTTTGTGCATATGACTTGCCATCTCTTTTGAATTTGAGCAGCGCCTCACAACGCGTTATTTGTTTGTTTACTTGAGTTATAAGTGTGCTCATTAAATTTGATTGACATGCAAACAAAAGTTATGGTCGTCAGCAGGATAGTATCAACTATTATGTTATTTTTGAAAAACTGTGAAAGTTTGAACACAAAATATGAACGCAATAGCAATATGTGTACCAACTCCATATACAGTCAGTGTTGCCAATTGCCGCTGAATCCCATTTTAAAAAAAATAGCTGTAAAATAGCTTTCGGAGCAGATGTGGTACACATGTACCTAAATAATATAAACAATTTTGAATCACTTTTATTTATCAACGTAGTGAACAGACATATAATAAAGGTACATTTTGTGTACCTACGGGTAAAATTTCCTAAGAACATCATGAACTTGTAACGGTAATGTTTGTGTTTAATTAACTTTGCACACATATTTACCGCCTGATCTTATCTTGCAGGGAATACACAGCTCATCTGGCTGCGGAATAGTCCTGCCTGAGCAGTTGCCAATGCATGTTGTACGGTATGAACGTGAGCGGAATCTACGCCAGCTATGTGGATAGCAAGCTTATTGGCATCCAGGCAGAGGAGGCGAATTTGTATGTGGTCCGTGCGCTGCGGCATGTCATCCAGGATGTGTTCGCTCAGCTGAGCGCAACGCTGGTGATAACCGTGGCCACCGGCAGCTGGTCAATTGGCAAATGGTTTGAGCATGTTCTCGGCGATTTGGTCAGCACCTGGAGCTCTGTCTCAGTGCAGATGCAGCATATCAATCATTCGCCCCATGTGCCCGGACGCAAATACTGCAATCTACTGCTGGTCGATTCCTACGAGGGCTTGCGGTAATAATACCCATCGAAATTGTGTGTAGAGGGTATATTGGTTGGCATCTTGATGGGTTCCGTGCTCAAGCTAAAGAAATTCATTTGTTGGTTACGGTTCACGATATCTTCTAGTCGGAAAAACCCGACTAGACCACTCTTATCTGTTACTCTTAAAGCATGATCCATTTTCTCCCCTGCTTATTGCCATCTCGCACAGCTCCACAAAGATTGCCGAGGACAATGCGGGCTACGACGATCACGAGTATTATTTCATATTTTTGCAGGCGCGCGACGCGCTCATTCAGCGTGAACTGCAGCTGATACTGGACCACTGTCTGCAGCACTATTGGCTGCACTGCAACGTGATGGTGCAGACGGCCCAGGTGGAGGTGCTCATCTATACCTATTATCCGTATACGGCGCAACGCTGCCAGGCGGCAGAGCCGCAGCTGGTGAATCGGTTCGATGGCCAGCGCATGCTGCACGCGCCCATGTTTCCGCACAAGCTGCAGCAGCTGCATCAGTGTCCGCTCAGTGTGGTCGTCTGGCACACGCCGCCCTTTGTCGAGCTCAACTGGGATGCGCGGGCAGCGAAAATGCGCGCCGCCGGCTTTGAGATTCGGCTTATTGAGCATCTGGCGCAGCGTCTCAATTTTAGCCTGCTGCTGCACAATGTCACGCTCGAGACGGTGGCCAGCTACCAGCAGAGCTGGGGTAATGGCCGCCCTATGGGTCCCCTAGAGCTGGTGAGTAGTCTGTAGCTCTCCTACCGGGAACACTCTGTGTCCTCTTCTCAATTTTGTGAAAGGCAATATTCTTCATAGTTGCCTGCAACACGTAAATTATTTACATAGGACTATACGACTAGAGTCAAGCTTATTCCTCTGGTTTTCAAATCGAGTCTCTTCATTTTACCGTTCACTTAGTATTTTTCGCAGCAAATTTCCTAAAAAATAACTAAATATTTCAGTGCTGAAAATCACGAAAGTTGTTGTGTGTTTTCCAACACGATCTTTGCAAGTCTACACTGAAGTAGGAGTTGGGCTGCAGAAAATTAGTGTAATTAGTGGAGAATCATGTCTGAAGGGAGTTGCGTATTTTCCAACACGATCTTTGCAAGTCTACACTAAACATATGGACTGGGCTATGGGCTGCAGAAAATTAGTGTAATTAGTGGAGAATCATGTCTGAAGGGAGTTGCGTATTTTCCAACACGATCTTTGCAAGTCTACACTAAACATATGGACTGGGCTATGGGCTGCAGAAAGTTAGTGTAAATAGTGGAGAACCATGTCTGAAAGGAGCTGCGTATTTTCCAACACGATCTTTGCAAGTCTACACACTAGGATCTGGGCTGCAGAAAATTAGAACCATGTCACACTGAAGCCAATTTTATGCAGCTTTCCAGGCAACTATGAGTATCTTATATATATATTTATCCTGTCTTTATTGTGACTAATCTGTGTGCCCTTGCAGCTGATGAAGCAGCACGCCAATCTGAGCGTGGGCAATTTTCGCAAAACAGCTGGACGCAATCGCATCCTGACCTCGCCCGTGGCCCATTACTATGCGCCCCTGGTGGCCACTGTGTCTGTCGAACACTTTCGCTTTGGCCGCCTCACGCTGCTACATTTCCCTTTCCAGTGGTGTGTTTGGCGCACGCTGCTCGCCGCGCTGATCCTCCATTGGCTCATCTATATGTGGCGCTGGCGGCACATGGGTCTGCAGGTGCTGGAGCTGCTGCTGGGCGTGACGCTGGCGCGTTTGCCGCGCTGCTGGCTGCAGCGCATCATCTATGCGCATTGGCTCTACGGGAGCATTCCGCTGCGCGTGGTCTATCAGTCGCTGCTGTTCCATTTCATAAGGCTGCAGCTGTTTGGAACGCTGCCGCAATCCTTTGAGCAGCTGCTGGAACGGAATTTTCAAGGCATGTGCACAACCAACATACTGAGCATGCTGCGCGAGATGCCGCAGGTGGCGCGCAACTATGAGAGCTTTGTGGGCATCGCATCGCCGTTCGATGAGGCTGTACTGGATGCACTGCATCGGTCCGGCAACGGTCGCTACTTTGCCATCACCGGCATTGACTCGGCCCATGCCCATCTGAGCGCTACAAACCGTCGGAGCAGCTACCATATACTGACGCAATATGTCAATCTGCAGCAGGTGGTCATCTATATGCCCAAGCACTCGTATTTCCTGGAACAGTTCAACGATATGCTGCGACGTCTCGATGCCAGCGGCTTCATTGACTTTTGGCGACGTGCCGCCTTCACCGAGTACAGCCACAGGAACACGCAGCTGCTGCAGCTGGAGCAACAGCAGGAGCAGCAAAACGAACAGCTTAGCCAGCTGGACGGCATCTACACGCTGATGGGCGCTCTCTATGCTCTGGCCATATTGATTTTTGGCGTCGAGCTCCTCTGCCATCGGCTGACCAAGCCAGCAACGGTGCACCTGGTCAAAGATTGATTTGAGTGCACGACTAGGAGATACCCTAAACTCGGTGTCGAATTGCCGTTACAAATATATGTATATATATGCTAACCGTTATGCTGCATTTATTGTGTGGCTTAAGTGGTTTCTTACTTTCGCGATCTGGCAGCGCTGCATCTGCATCAAGCTGGCTGCGCTTGCTGTTAACGGAATGTGCTATATTTGGCAGTGCCACACTGAAGCCTTGACAACTGCTTGTAAACGATCTGGCAACTTTGCGTACGTTTTATAGAAACGTTAAGTTGGTTGCGCTTGAGTAAAAACGCGGTTTTCGAATTTAACTGTAAATCAATAAAAGCAAAAGTTATTGCGACACCACAAAAAGAAAAAGAATAACAAAAAAAAAATGTGAAGCCACAACAAAAAATCAAGCATTGATTATGCTGCAACCACTTATCCAATGTATCATTAATCAAAAACTACTTACGGGCAATTAATGCAAAAGATAAACAAAACTTGGCGCGTGGCTGCGCCTCAGCTTGGTGCCCAGCCCCAGCTGGGGGCCAATGGCGGGCACATTTGGCAGTTAAAAGCGGGCACAGAATGAACATATCGCAGCTGTTGCAGTCGTATCATGATCTGTCCGGAGAGCAGATGAACCACATCAATGAGTACGTGGCACAAGCCCTGCTGCACGTGGTCCACAGCTATATAATGAGCGTGACGCCGTCGCTGGTGCTGACCCTCTGCTGTCGTAACAATCACACTTGCAACTTCTACAACGAGATGATGAGCATACTCTTTCGCAGTTGGGGCATAGCTCCGCTCCAGATTGTCATCGTGCAAGAGGGAATGCTGCGTCGGCTTGTCCCTGGTCGCAGGCACTACAATCTCATATTCACGGACTCGTATGCGGCCTTTGCAGAGATCGAGGTGGAGTCCTATTCCCGTGACTACAACTACAACGAGCACTATTACATCTTTCTGCAGGCGCGTGATCGTCTGCTTTTTGGCGAGATGCGCCGCATCTTTGCGCACTGCTGGCGCCACCAGCTCATCAATTGCAATGTCCAGGTGCAGAGAGCCAACGGGGAGATCCTCTTGTACACGTATTTGCCGTTTGGCCCGCAGAGCTGTGCCGATATGAGTCCACAGCTCATCAATCGCTACAATGGCAGCCACATGCTCCATCCGCAGATCTTCCCCCGCAAACTGGGCAACTTCTTTGGCTGCCCTCTGCGTGCCGCACTCTGGCATATGCCGCCGTTCCTCTAGCTGGAGGCCACAGCGGGATCCGATGCGCGCATTGTCGGTGGCCTTGAGGGCCGCCTCTTGCAAACGCTCATCCAGAGACTCAACCTGACCATCCAGGTGCTCGAGCCACCGCATGGGCCGGGTCTGTTGGGCAATAGAATGCTGCAGATGGTGAGTAACATGTTGTCTCCTCCTCCACCCAAATGACTCTCTTCTCTTTGTGCTCTCTGCAGTTGCAACGTGGCGAGGCGGATCTGTGTGTGGGCGGCATTCGTCAGACAGTGGCACACAGCCTGTTGGCCACATCGACCCACAACTATCATCAGACGAGCCTCCGGTTCGGCGTTTTGGGCATCACATATGAGCTGAGCTCCCTGGACATTCTGCTCTATCCATATCCAACTACGATTTGGCTGGCCATTGGCGTTGTGCTCGCACTCTCGCTCCTGCTGCACCTGGCAATGGACCGACTGCTGTTGCCTAGGGAGCAGGGCTCCGTCTGGCTCAACCTGGTGCTGATATTCGTGGGCATGCCCATGCTGCAGACGCCGCGTTCGATCGCCAAGCGTGTGCACTGCATCATGCTGATGCTCTACACATTGCTCATACGCACCATATACCAGGGGCTGCTCTACCATCTGATACGGACGCAGCAGCTGAATCGGCTGCCGCAGTCCATCGAGGAGCTGGTGGCCCACAATTACACAGTGGTCCTCTCGGCTGGCATTCACGATGTGCTCGCCGAGATACCCACCGTGCAGCAGATGCGATTTCGCATGCTCGATGGCGACGGCACCCTGCTGCAGCCCCTGCATTACCTAGTGGAGCGTCCACGGGACAAACGGCAGGTGGCCGCCACTGTGCTGGAAATATTTCTAATGTACAATCGTTTAAGTGCACAAGTTCAACAGCAGCAGGCAGGCAATCATTTCGAGCTGATACCACAGGATGTGATCGACCTGCAGTTGACCATGTACCTCAGGAAGCACTCCTTTCTGATCGATGCGCTCAATGAGGAGATCATGTGGATGCGATCCGTGGGACTGCTGGCCATTTGGGCACGCTGGGAGCTCGACGAAAACAACTTGAGAGCTCTGCAGTCGAGCAGCTACCGAATGCTGGGCCTGCAGGAGCTGCATGTGATATTTGTTCTGCTTCTAATCGGACTGTTGGTAAGCTCGCTTCTCTTTTGCCTAGAGCTACTTTCTTTGCGCTCTGCGCGACTTCAGCGCTGGCTTCTATTAAAATAAGAAATTGTCAGATTGCTGGAATTTTAGCGGCATTGCAATTTGAATTTTTTTTAAATTGCGACAAATGGTCACACTGAACGATGCTGAAAAACAGGCAGTCTAATACAAATGAAAGCTATTCCAGTGTTGCCATATGCGATAAATTTACTGAAAACCAAATGTTGCTTAGAGGGTGACAACTGGTCGCACGGTAAACGGCCACACTGAAAAATATTTAAAATCAGGCAGTTTAATACAAATGAAAGCTATTCAAGTGTTGCCATATGCGATAAATTTACTAAAAACCAAAACTTGCTGAAAGATGGTGAAAATTGGTCACACTGTGAATATAAAGGTACAAAAGAAGAAAAGAACATTTTAAACGCAACGGTTATATGAAAAAGAAAATTCGTATTTTAAAAGCTGCCCAGGACGAATGGTTCATCAACCTGTTGCTTGCGTAAATAGCGTTTTAGTTTCTTAACACTTTGCCGTGAACTTGCCGAATACTTCAATAGAATGGTCTCAATTGTCGTAAGCTTATCTCGCAATAACACGATCTGACGGCGGACGTCCCAAATATGATCGTCCTTCTCGTCCTCAGAGTCAGAATCCGATGGCAATGCGACACAGTCACTCTCCTCATAATAAGCACGGACCACGGACTGCCCGACTTTCAAAACAGCTGACAAATCGGGCTTTGACGGAAGTGGTTCCTCGTCAGCCTGTAAAGATTCCGCAGCTATTTCTCGTGATTTTGGCGGGTTTGGGTTATTACCAGCACGCTCTGATGGCGGGTCAGCAAAAGGAGGCTCTGGTTCCGAATGAATAGGTTCCTGATCGGCCTCTGATAATTCCGGCGCATTATTTCGGGATGTTGACGGAATGGATTTGTTGCCAACACGCTCAGATGGCGGGTCAGGTAGTGGCTCTTGTTCCGACCGAAGCGTTTCATGATTAGACTTTCGTCCTAGTTCACTGAATGTCGGCGGGTCGGGTTTATTGCTTAGGCGCTGTTCTGTTGGATTAGGAAGAGGCTCTGCTTTCCACTGAGGTTGTGCATCATTAGCTTGTAGTAACTCCTCAGCTACTTCGTGGATTGGTTTGATATTAGCACGCAGCGAAAGTGGGTCAGGAAGGCTTTCAAAATCAGCTTGTAAGGATTTCAGAGCTATTTCTCGGGTTGTCGACGGGATTGGTGGATCAGGAAGTGGATTTCGTTCCACCTGAAGTGGTTCCAGACCAGCTTCGCATGATTTCGCACCTATTACTCGGGATGCCGTCGAGATTGGCTTAGAATTAACACGTTGTGGTGGTTGTGTGGTTGTTGCTTGTGGCTCCGGTGTCGACTCACGTTCATGGCCAGCCTGTGGCAGTTCCGCGGAAACTGTTTTAGCCGGCGACTGTGTACGCTTAACAATAGCACGCTTTGAAGTTGCGGCAGAGATGGCCTTCGGCGTCGGCTCAACTGGTTTACGACAAGGTTCGCACGGTTCCGGAACTATTGATCGGCCCGGCGACTGAATTCGTTTATAAATGATACGCTTTAAAGGCTCCAGTGTTGATTCCTCGACTGGTTCAGTGGAAAGTTTAGCTAGCTCACAAATTGGTTTCACTGATTTTTCGACAGAAGCTGCAACCCATTCCGACTGCCGTAGCTCATAACTAGCCTTTGATGTTTTTGGAGCTACTTCTTGGGTTCGTTTAGAGTTAAGACGTCGAGAGGGTAGGCCAGAAAGTGGCTCTGGTTCTGTTTGAAGTGGGTCATGAACAGTCTGTGATTCCGGAACTGTACGCCGAGCTGGTACGGTCGAAAGTGGCTCTGATTCGGATTGAAGGGTTTCCTGATCGGTTTGTGATGTTTTCTGAGCTACTTTGCCTGCGGGCTGAATTCGTTTATCCTTGACACGCTTTAAAGGTACGAACATGGGATGTGGGTCCGGTGTCGAAACTGGTTCGCAACGAGATTCCGGCTCTATTTGCCGGGCTGGCTCATAGCGAGCCTCTGGTGTTTGCGAGAGGACAGTTTTAGCTGGCGACTGAACACGTTTATAATTAACACGCTTTGAAGTCGGAGCAGGCACCGATTCCGACCTTTGAGCTTGTGTTGATATCGGGGCTGTTTCTCGATTACGATTAACGCCCTTTAAATGTGCGGAAGAGAGTTGCTTCGGTATCGTCTCAAGTGGTTCAAACCAAGCCTGCAGTGACACCGGGTGTTTCTCGCGAGTTGCGGACCGGCTTGACTTATGCTTAACACGTTTCAATAGTACAGGCTGTGGTTTCGGGGGGATTTCTCCGCCCGGCGCATGACCGGCCACTGGCGGTTCCGGGGCAACAGTTTTGGCCGGCGACTGTACTCGTTTATAATTAACTCGCCTGGCTGGCACGGGAGTCAGCGACGAATGTGGTTCCAGCGTCGATTCCGGGTTAGCTAAATCAGTTGTCGACCGGCTTTGTTCTGGCTCAGGCTCAATTGGTTCCGGCGACATGGATTTGTCTGGCGACTGAGCCCGTCTATAGTTAACACGCTTCAATGGCGACTCGACTGGTTCGAACCAAGCGTCCAGTGGTTCCAAAGGTATTTCCTGAGCAGGCAACTGGTTTCGTTTATAGCTAGCACGCTTCGATGGCACGGCAGAGATTCGCTCTGACGTCGAGTGAAGTGTTTCTTGAACAGCTTGTATCGGTTTCGGAGGAAGTCGTTTTGCTGCCGAATGGGAACGTTTATAGCTCTGGCGCTTTGATGGCACGGCAGGATGTGGCTCCGGGTTGGGTGATTCCACGTCTGATTCCGGGTCTGTTTCTTGGGCTGGCGACTGGACACGTTTAGGATAACCTTGTTTTAATGGAACGCTGGGCAGGGACTCTGGTGTCGACTGGCGTGATTCGTCCGATTGATCTGGTTGCGACTGAACTGATTCGCCTGGTTCATTGCAAGGATTAGCTGTCTTACAAATTGGCTTGACTGATTTACCGGCTGGCTGGGCAGATTTTCGGCCGAGTATTGACTGCGTTGACCCTTTGGCTTTGGCTTTAGACTTGTCCGGCGTTGGGTTCAGTTTCCAGGACGCAAGATTATCCGGCTTCACCGAAATGCCGAGTAGGCTGTGTGCGCGGGGCACCAGCTCGACAGGTTTCCGGGGATGCACAGATGCGATTATTGTGCTGCTCCGTCGCAAATAGGCGGCATAATCGAAACGTCTTTCGACTTCGACGATTTTTTTAAGTCCGATCGGTTTCCCGCAGCGCTCCTTGCTGGCATCGTAGGCGCGTCCATTGTGGTTCATCTTGTGAAATTTGTGCAGCCAATTGAGGAACTCATAATGGCCGCGACCTTTGGCCAGCTCGCGATTGGGCACATCCTTGCGGATGTTGAGCTTGGCAAATGTGTTGCGCAGCAGCTTAAAATTGGCCTCAATCTCGTAGCTGGTGTTCGTGTACAAATAGACCTTGGTCAGCGATATTTCAGCTGGAAACAGCTTGTGCACAAATTGGCAATAAACGCCGCCCGTCTTCAGTTCGGACAGCTCCCGCACATCGCACTGCATCTCCGCATTAACCCAGTTAAGCAGCTCGCGCACCGAGCAAGTGTCCTTCTTCATCACCAACACGTTCTTCACGTACTGCTTGGAGCCCGGCTTCTGCGTTAGCGCCATTTCACTGCAATAGAAGCAAATATATATCATAAGAAACAATTTTTACTCGAGCAAATTGATTTCAATCAGAAAACCGGCAAGCAAAACGTTTAGCCTTAGAGAAATACCAAATAAATACCAGATACTAGACTAAAAAATATGCTAACTTTGGTCATGCAGCATTCGGACTATAAATGTAATATGGTAACATTATGACCGTTATTTAAAAAGCCCTAAGGAATTTAAACAAGCATTGAGATTGATTAGAAGAAGATCGATTCTTTTTGGATTTGCTTACTATATCTACATTGATATAGTCGTTATCTAACAAAGGGAATTACGACTTTTTTTTTTTGTTGGGTTTCAGTCAATAAATAGCTGCAAATGAGGCCTTTCTCATGAGTATATGCATTCGTAGTTTCAGATAAGTGTTATGATTAGCACCAGGAGAGCCAACTTCAAAGCTTTAAGCCCGTCTCTTGTACATATGAGAGATAAAGACAATATGGGTTTTACAAGGAACTTACTCTGTTGGATTTTGCTGAAACCTTTTATCATATATAATAGTTGACGAGCCAACGTCCCTTTATAAGTACTAACCCGTTGCCAAACTCAAAATGCCTGCGAGAACCTTTTTGAACACGGCCAAGTCTCTCTTCTGGCCTTTGTTTCGAATGTGCTGTAAAAAGAAAGATCTTTAAATGTATTGAATATAATTCCTAAAAATTTGGCAAATACTTTCGAGCACTTACATTTATATTTATTTATATTTTTCAAATATTCGATGCGGACGCCTTTGTTCGAAGTTTGGATGACGCAAATTGCTTTATAAATCTGTTTATTAGATGCGTCGTTCTTTCCACAAACTGACTTGGATGTAAGTACAGTTACGCACAACATTTTTTTTTTTTTTAAATGAGCGTAGTTAAAAGTATGTAAACACTTACACGAATACCAGTACTAACGGTATATCAAAGATATTTTTGCCAACTTTTGATGGAATCGTTCGATGAGGTCCCAAATACTGTACGGAAATTAAAGAGATGCCTTTTTTCAATGCGTTTGCATGTTTTTGTATTAATAGAGCCCAAACCTTCTACTTAATACATATATATATACATATATATTATATAGTATTTACCTTTTGGCCCAAAGTGAAAGTCTGCTACTAAATCCGAAGAATCTTTTCCTTCACATTTCGCTAGAAAGAGAAAGAGTATTAGGTATTCCAGTTATTCGAATTTTTTGAGCTTATGTACGTAAACACACTTACGTTTGAGGCAGACTGTACTTTAAAGGTATATTTTCCAACACTGGATATCTTCCATCTTCTGATGGTGAGATGTTTGAATTTTCTGCTTCCTGCTGGCTCTACTTAAAGACGGGGGAGTGAAAGAGATGGCTTGTGTTTACAGTTACTAGCAATATTATTTGAGGTTAGGAAAATATCATAAACTTACTCTTGAAATCACGAAAGATTGTATTAAAGTGACTTTTGACGAACGTATTCTATAATTGCACTTGCCTGTTAGGGGCTTAATTTGAAGGTATCTAAAGGTATTTGGGTATGTTGGGGATCGGGATCTAATGGATGCAATTTAACCAAACACTATGCGAAAACGAATACAAAGACAACTTTAAAATGCGCTTTTCTTGAATTTATTTGTTTTGCACTTGAAACATTGGCAGATACTTGAAGACTGAGTATTATTCGCTTCCCGATTAAGACAACTCGTTTATAATTAATGATTCGTCGCCTACTACGTCTTATTTTTACATTTTATTAGATTTTTGGGTATGAGTTACGATGATAATCGACGACATTCGACAAATGCAGTGCTGTACAGCGACTTTTTGAGTTCAATTAAGCCATTATACAACACTGAAACCGGAAATAGACACATGCAAGCTTGTGAACAGAAATTTAGTCTATATTCGTATAGATTTATTGTATGTGAAAAGTTTTCGGTAAATTTTTTTTTCACAACAAAGAGTGTGCGATACGATAATAATCAACGATATTCGACGAATACGTTTGCAGTGTTGCACACCGACTTATTAGGTTAGCTTTTTGCCTAACACAACACTGAAACCGGAAACAGACACACACACACACAAAAGCTTGTGAGCAGAACAGTCCCCGAATTGTAGTCTGCTTTTCGTACAGATATATTCTTTATATTCCCTGAATTCATTAAAAAACAAATCATGTGAATGCGAACTTATCTATGAGTCAGTTGATATAGAATATTAGATAGGGAGCTCTGCTGTTTTGGGCATTGGTTCGGCCACACAATCGCACAGCAATTAGTTTGAGTAATAAACACAGATTTCTAAATGCATTAAATGAAATTACCCAATATTATCAAGGGACATTGGGGGGGTGGGGGGTGTGCTTGGACTGGAACATATACAAGGAATTATATTCAAAACTTTTACAAGGGAGTTTTTAAGCAAATCTCGAGAATAAGGAGAGCTTCTTGCAGCCAATTTGGAATGTGGCTTCAGGCAGGTTATGTTTAGATAAAAAATAAGTTACTTTTTGGATGCCTGCCCCACGTAAACCCCATAAGACAGAAGAAATAGTTCTTCAAGCTAAGGCCCTGCGCTTGGGTATATACACACTTTTGCATGCCAAATGCAAGCTCTACAAATTTCAACAAGATCGAACTATAAGGAACGAAGTTACGACAGAACGTACGCCTCATAGAACGAGGCAGAGGGCAAGCTTGGAAGGGCGGAGGGAAGGGCGTGCGACTAGGCGAGCCTCCCAGCTGAGTTTGCCAGTGCATTAATGCAGGATTTCTCCAGAGTGCCGGGCCACAATCAATATGCAATCAAAATTCAATTGGAATATAAAGCGCAAACTTCGTCTGGAGTTCAGTTCGGCATGGAGTTCCACGCTGGACACTGGCTGCCTCTGCTGCTGCTCGGGCTGTGCCTTGGCCGCGCGCTAGCCTGGCCGCCGCTGGAGTTGGAGCTTGAGCGCGAGCAGGCGCCAATTGTTGACAAGTTATCAAACGTGCTGCAGGCGATATTGAATGCGAGCTGCTTGGCGCACAATCTGAGCATCTCAGTGAGCAGCGTCTATCGGGAGCAGCTGCCGCCGGCGCAGCGGCTTCTGGTGGAGCGCGTGCTGCAGCTTAGCTGGCGGCGTGCACGATTAGTGCCCGCTGTGCTGGACAGGCAGCTCCAGCCGGAGCTGAGCCTGCGCGTGCAGCTGCTGCTCTTCTTTGTGCTGGATGCGCCGCAGCTGATCGCCGCCGCGGAACGCAATCCGCGCGTAAGCGTGACCCACAAGTACAAGTACCTAATTGTGCTGCTGGCTATGGGAAAGGCGAAAGACTGGCAGCGGACGCAAATGCGCCAGATCTTTGGCTATCTGCTGCGGCAGCGCTACAACGTGGATGTGCTGCTGCTCCGGGTGGAGCTGACGCCGGTTGGCAGCACCGTGGCCAGCTATAGCTATGCGCCGTATGCCTCGGCGCGGCGCTGCGACTCGACGAAGCCGCTGGCCTGGCCGCTGGGGCAGGCGCGACTGGAGCAGCTGTATCCGGGCAACAAGCTGGCCAATCTGCACGGCTGTCCGTTGCGCGTCATTGTCTGGCAGATACTGCCGTATATGGAGCTGCATGGCAATGGGCGCATCTCCGGCCTGGACGCGGACATACTGCAGCTGCTGGCAGCGCGGCTCAACTTCAGCCTGGCGCTGCTGGCGAACGAGCCGCCGCAGCTGATCGGCGGCGCCAGCTATATGAATGGCAGCATGACCGGCGCCTTTCGCATGCTGCTGGAGCAGCGCGCCAATCTGACGCTGGGCTTTACCGCCTGCCTGGCCGCTCGCTATAAGTATTTGGCCAGCACGCTGCCCTATGGCCAGGTGGAGTATGTTTTGGTGCTGCGCCGGGCGCGTCCGTTTAGCCTGTACGAGATTATGCTGTTGCCCTTTGAACGCTCCGTTTGGCTGCTGCTGTTCGTGCTGGCTGCAGTGCGTCCGTGGTGCCGGCTGCCGTTGCAGCTGCAGCTGGCTTGGGTGCTCTTTCTCTTTCTGCTGCGCGTTAGCTACGAGAGCTGCGTTTTTGTGTTCGTGCACAATGCGCCGCGCCGCCCGCTGCCGCACAGCCTGGAGCAGGCCCTGCAGCTGGACTATAGCTTCATTGTCGACCATGCCACGTATCGGATGACGGAAATGCTGCCGGCTCTGAAGGCGCGCACGCGCATTCTGCCCGGCCAGCCGGTGGACATGTTCGAGCAGCTGCTGGCCCAGCCGCCGGACAAGCGGATCGCCGCCATCAGCACGCCGCATTTTCTGGCCCACTATCTGAGCGGGCGGCACGAGCAGCAGCCGCTGTTCGTTATCGCCAGCCGCAAGATCATGGACAACATGGCCTGTGTGCACTTTCCGCTCGGCTCCTATCTGACCGCCACGGTCGACCGGGTGCTCTTCAATATGCGCAGCTCCGGCATCAATCACCACATTGCCAATCGCCTCATCACCAAAGTCGCTCGACTGCGGCACAGGCGTGGCACCACCTCCTCCTCCTCCTCCTCCTCCTCCTCCATCTCTACGGATCATGCGGCACGGTATAAGGAGTCCATGCGTTTCATCTATGCCGCTCTCAATTGCCTGCTCATCGCCGAATCTCTCACGCTCGCCATATTCGCCTTGGAACTGCTCAGCCTGCGTCTGCCCTGGCTTGCCAGGCTTTTTCGGCTGGAAATATCAAAAGGAATATTTAATTTATAGCTATAAATGCAAAATAATTAATATATTCACCAGCTGCTGTTGCCCGGCCTTGCCCGGCGCAAGTCTTTTGCTTCAAATGTTACAAAACGATTTTCCACGCTTTTTCCGCACGTTAAAATTTGAACTTTGCCAAAATTGCCCAAAAAAAGGATATCGATATCGATTTTTATCGATTGCTTGGAAACGGAGGGAGTTATCGATTATCGGAAATAAGGGAGTTATCGATTATCGGAAATAAACTCGATCTGCGCGGGAGCTAGGAGCACCTACAATTTCAAGTCTCTAGCTCTTATAGGTTCTGAGATCCCTGCTTTCATACATACAGACGGACGGACGGACAGACATGGCTAGATCGACTCGGCTATTGATGCTCATCAAGAATATATATACTTTATGGGGTCGAAGATGCTTCCTTCAAATACAATATACCCTAATACCCATTTTTAATGGGTTCAGGGTATATTGAACAATTGTTATTTCTCATAGGATAATGTTACAGTTATTTTCAAATATTCTCTTTTGCTAAAGCTAAAATATAACGTCTTAAGCCTTGAAGTAGATATTTGATATGCCAATAAGATACATATTATTGACGATATTATATATATTCCATATCAGATATATATATATTATAATTGCAAAGCCAAAAAACAGCTACAGCTGCTGGAGGCTATATATAAGCTATATGATCAACATTTCAATAATTCTAGAAGATATTCAAATATTGATTCAATAGAAAACAATAGGAGTTAGATATCCTAAAAAACATAAAATTGTTTAAGCAAGATTTAGCTCACAAGTAAAAGGTATTTCGGCGGATCGTGAAGTTTGTGTAAAATATTTTAAATTACAAATAGGTTTTCTTATAGAACAGCATTTTTTTAAAAGATTTTTCCATGAATCTTGTAGATTTAATATTTTTAAGTAAGGCTCGTAGTTCAGCTTGGTTCAAGATATCTTGGAAACAAAAAAAGAAGAAAGTTTCTTTTTACGAACGATTTGCTATGCATATTATAAAGTGATCCGACATTCCAACTGCCAGGGAAATTGTCTGTGGAACAAGAATATATACACTGGATCGGGTTCAAAAATGCCCACAGCAAGTGTTTACAAATATTTTATAAAAGCTTATGTGGATAAGGACAAAGCGAGCCAGAGTAACTAGGCAATATATAGATTCTATCCAAGTATCAATTAATTAAGTTACAAAGAAGTGAGAAAGGGGTTTCGACTAGGTTTCGACTAGGTTTCGACTAGGTTTTAGACCACATAACGATTGGCCGCATTCATGAGCCGCCGTAGACGTGTTCGCTGTGGCTGGGCGGCGCGCAGTTCGAGCATGAACACAATGCTGGCGAACAGATGCATTAGCCCCAAGCTGGCAAAGAGGCCGGCGAGCAGCCAGAGGCTTAGTTTGGTTGGTGCACGGCTGCGCTGAGCGGCCATATGCTCGATCCGGTCGAGGTACATGCGACGATAGCGATGCACCAGGCCGGAGGACATCATGTTGATTAGCAGCTTGTTGATGCGCTGCTTTAGATACGAATGTGGACGCATATAGATCGCCAGCGGGGCGGTCAGCAGAGGATAGGGCAGCAAAGTGAGACGTTGCTTTTCGGGACCGGAGTCCATGTCGAATCTGGCTACGGTCGGCTGCAGCACCGGCACCACAAATTGCGCCTCATTGTCATCGCGAAGCCGGCGAAGCCAATCCTCCAGACCAGACACCACCAGGATACGCTGACGGGGCACAATGTCCTTGAACACCGGTTGCAGTGCGGGCAGCATATGAAACGCATACTTCCTATCCAGCACCTCGGACAGCGAGCGCAACGGTGTACGCACCCGCCCATCCTGCAGCAGAATATAGAGCTCGCCCGTGTAGGCGGCGCGCAGCACCAGAGTCTGAAGTAGCCAGAGTGCGAGCAGATATCGGGCGAAATTGCGACGCGGCGGATGCAAATGCAGGCCACCGAGCAGTGTGCTCCACAGCTCCGTGCCGGGCAGCCGATTGTTCTCGCCGAGCACAAAGCGACGCAATCGCGGACCGCTAAGCAATTGCAGCCAGGCGATCAGGCCCAGGCCCAGCAGCACGCACATCAACAGGCACAGCCAGGTGATGTAGCCGAGCGGCTTGGTCAGGCGCTGCAGCGGCGACAGCGGATAGCCGCCGGGTATGCAGAGCACTATCGGAAAGCTGGTATACGAGATGCTCGGCAGCATGTACGTGGCGCGCTCCATGTTGTACATAAACGAGACAAAGGTTATGTTCGCCACGCCGTCAACGATCTGCAAGGAGAGCAGGTTAATTAGTTGAAGATCGATTTAAACTACAGATCAAGTTGCCTCAGGCTTTATATTGACTCACCATTTTCATGGCGCCCGTGATGGTGCCATTGGGCAACACTTCGCCTCGATTGTTATTTGGCTCCTTCACGATTTTGATGCCAAAGTTCATGCGCTCCGCCAGCAGGCGATAGATCATGCCCTCGATGCCATGCATGCGTTGGGCATCGGACAGGCTGGCGTCATTGTCATTGAAGAAGACAAAGGGGCGACTCTCAAAGGTGACAGTGACCAGCTGGCAGCCATGCATATCGTGCAGTTTGGAGTCAAAGAATTGAACGCTGTTCTCCACATGGATTATGGGCGGTGCGCCGAGACCGCCCTGGAAGGTGGCATAGTGCACCGGCTCCGAGGACTGACAGCGATGCGGCCGATATGGATAATAATTGTAGACCCGCACGGTGCCAGTCTGACGCCCCACCAGCAGCACATTCACATTGATCACATAGATGGCGAGCAGACGTTGAAAGATTGCGCCAATGGTGCGCAGACGTCCCAACTCCTGGCCCGTGTACACAATACAATAGAAGCCGTTGCGCTTAAAGAAGCTGTCCGGCTGCAGCAGATGCCGCTCCAGACGCATATAGGCGCGCCAGCTGTCCAGCAGCAATATGGCCGTTTCGCGGCCCAAAAAGCCGCTGGCCAGGCCGGCGCGCTGTGCCGTGCCCGCCGGCGATTCGTCGCCATCGATGCGCTCATGCTCCAGCAGAAATTTGATGCGCCCGGCGCCCGATGCCAAACACAGCACAGAATCAATTAGATCGTTGTGGAGAGCGCGACTTGAGTCGCGCGTGGCGAAGTGCATAATGGACAACGGTTTGCTGGAGTCGCTCGCATAGTGACTGTTAATCGTCCAGACGACGGCGTACATCAGTGTTATGTTATAAATCGCCTGCACCGATGCGCTGGACAACATGTTGGGCCAAGTGAAGAGTCGTCCAGTAACTGCTGAGCGCGGCAATTGCCGACGCTTTTAATGGTTGCATGTGAGCTTGCAGCTTATCGCGGCTCGTTATCTGGCAAATGGTATTTAAATGGATGCGCCATCAGTTAACAAGTCGTTCGTTACATTGCCTGCCGCATGCCACATGCCACATCTGCGCAAAAAAAAAAAAAAAAAAACCAATATCTATACTTAAATCGTTCATTTTATAAATCAAGTTAATTTTGCCAACGGCTCGTTGGCTTTCAACTTTCGTTGCCAGTGTGACCAACGATCCGTTAACCAATTTAGTTGGCAGAAGTGATCACTAGAAGTTGGGCAGACATTTGGATAGTTTGCACATTTAGATGCCACACGGCGCTAGCCAAATCTGTCAAATTAAATAATATTTCAGAGCACAACTGTTCAAATGTGTTGATTTTGCGAACTGGTCGCTAACTTTGAATTGCGTCTGCCGGTGTGGCCATCGTGTGTTTTTGGCCTTTTTTTTTTTACAGCATTCGCAATTCGTCAGTGTGACCCCAAAACAGGCAGCACAGTAAATGGCGAATAAGCATTTTAATTGATTTTAGTTTTTGATTTTTATCTTGAAATGAGTAATGGGCAAAGAAATTGCAACAGATGCAGCAACAGCTCGTGTCGCAACACAATTTACAGATCGCTGACCGTATTTAATGTGTTCATTTACAATACAAACAACTATTCGCTAAATATTTTTTGCTGACCTAAGCAGCCACCCGCAAATTATTAAAAAAAAAAAAAAAAAAGAAAATATGATAATACATGTTCCAACATATTTCGTGCAATATTTTATTCTTATTTTGTACAACAGTCGACGTTGGAGTCAAAAGTCCATTGCAGAGCTTAGCTCAGCATTGATGCACCTCGCTGGCTTTGGCGCGGTGACACACATTCGCGATAAGGCGGTCTACGCTGCGAGAATTTTTTGTGGTCATTAAAAATGGCAGACGCTCATTTATTGGAGATGGCACACGAATAACGCAATCACGATGATGCGTATTGCAATCAAATATTTTAAATTTGCCAATAAGCTCAAGGGCATTACATGTATTGTTATTGTCTGTATTTATGTTTGCTTGAATGAATGAAAACGTTTAAGCAGAGACACATGAACTCAAATAATCATGTTTAAAAGACAAGAATTCTAAAGCTTATTGTATATTGAGAAGCACGTTAATAATTAAAATTTAAACGGTGTAACAGCCTTACCTAGTTTTGAGCACAAAATACTAATTGCTCAAAATAGAAGGAATAAATCGTTTTTTTTTTTTTATCGTGCTTCTCGCGGGGGCACCTAGTGTCATCTCTATGGACAATTTGATATGAGCACGTAGCGGCTGCTGTTCAAAATAAAAATGTTATATATAGGGTCACACTTTTGGAAACGGTTATAAGACAAAAGAGACAAAGCGGAAAATAAGTTGTGCTTAGCTTCCGGATTGCCGCGAATCGTAGACAAAACAATGCCAAAACGCAGATAAGACAAAAGAATTGGAAACTATGTGGAACTGTGGATTTGTTTTCAGTGCAACATTTTGCACTGATTCCATGAAAAATTGCTCATCAGCAAATTGTTAAGTCAAGGTTTTTTGTTGTTGTTGTTGTTCTTGTTTTCATTTATTTATTGTGCTGCGGCGGCTGCTGCAGCAGCTGCAGTCTGCACGGGCCATTTCTTTAATTTCTTTTACTTTTACTGACCCGTACCCATCGAAAATGGGTGAAATATGGCTATATTGGTTAGGGGCAAATGGGCGAGGCAACTCGGAACCCATAAAGCTGTTCTAATTCTGAGCTGGAGATGTCTGACATCGCACGCTCAAGCTTTTAAGTTGAGTTTATATTGAAATATTGATCTGTGTTATCAGCCATGTTCTGCTTTTTTTTTTTTTTAGTATTTTATTTGTGTAAAGCACAGAATAATATGAAAAGGTATTTTTTGTTATATTCAATTTTTGTTATATGTACACACTGAAAATGCGTTAACAATTGGAAATTGCGGCGGTTAATTCATATTGAGAGATATACGTACATACATACCCTAGCTAAAGTCTTGCGTCGCTAATTATAGGGTATTGGCCAGTCGATCAGTCTCAAGTGCAGCATTTTCGGTTGCTGTTAGTTGGCTTTTTGTGGCACACACACGGAAACGAAATTGAAATGCAATGTCAATTTTTTGGTGTCATCGTGGCAGGGCGTTGCGGGACGGGGCGTGGCCGCTCAACTGGCAGTGCGTGCAAATTGCAGCGCAGCTCTTTGGCACGATTCGGCGGCGTCGACACTTTTTCGTACAGTGGTGCCGCTGCCGCTGCTGCTGCTGCTGCTGCTGCTGCTGCTGCTGCTGTCGCCGCCGCCGCCGCCGCCGCTGCTGCCGCCACCGCTGGCAGAGTTCTATATGGGGCAGCGTCTGAGCGCTTGGAGCGTCAGTCACCGTTCGACGCTTAACAAACGGCCAGTTCCAGCGAAAGCGCTAGAGAAAAGTGCTAAAGGGTATATACATATAGATATATATATATATATATTAAGGATGAGATTGATTTGTGTAACGCTGCTGCTGCTTGGCGGCGCACTGTGCAGCGCCCAGGATGCGTCGCCGGGTGCCAGTGTCGTCAGCGGCGCGGAGGCAGCTGCCGCCGCGGATAGCCTAACACCTGGCAATGCCAATGATACGGCCGATGAGAGGCCGCGCATACCCACACAGGAAGAGGTGAGCATCAATAGAGGCGAGCCGAGCTATGTCTGCCTCAATAGCTAATCCTTTGCCTCTCTGGCATTTCCGTTTGTAGTTACTTGCCCAGATGCCGCCCCTGCAGCCCCTGAACACAGGCATACCCTCACTGGATGCGTTCTATTTAATGTTCCCGGCTCTGAGCAGCCTCCTGCGCTGGGGCAGCCTATTTCCGGCGCAGTCGCTGCTCGGTGCCATGCCGGACACACTGCAGCCGGCCGCTTCGAAGGTGGTGCTCGTGCTGGCGGACGAAGCCAATGGACACAAGTCGCGTGTAACGCGTCAGGATGCAACCGCACAGCCGGCGCCAGCTGCAGCGGCACCAACAGCGATGAACGGACCTGCTATGCTGCAGCAAATGCAACAGATGCTTGGACAGATGCCGCCTCCGAATCTGGGCCAGATGTTGCCACAAGTGCCCGCCGGCTGGCTGCCGGATGGCTTTACGCTAGGCCAAATGCCGCCGTTGCCGGATAACTTTAATCTGGGTCAAATGCCGCCACTGCCGGATGGCTTCAATCTTGGCCAAATGGCGCCCGTTATGCCCAACTTTGGTCTGCGTCCGCTGGAGAGCCTGCTCGGCCAGGCGCCAGTCGCGCCCGCCACCACAGCTGCGCCGCCGGCAGCCAAGCCAGCTAGCGAGTCGGAGCCGGCGCCAGCGCCAGCAGTGGGTCAGGCGCCGCCGGCGGCAGGTGCCGGATTCGGTGCTCTCTTCGATGGCAGCAACAATCTGCTGGGCCAGGCCTTTAGTGGCATGCCCGCAGCGCCCACGCCGGACGCCTTCATGGCTGGCCTGCGCCAGTTCTGGCCGGGCGCAGCGCCGCCGACTGGCGACAGAAGCGCCCAGGCCTCCGATATATCGGAGGTGCGCGTCAAGCCGGACAACCACAACCAGGACACGATCGGCTATCGGGCCCCGCAGCAGGCGCACGCACAGCTCGCTCAAATGAAGATCAAGTCAGCGCTGCAGCTGGAGCAGGAGAAGCAGCGCGTGCCGCTGCTCTGGTTCCGCATGCCCAGCTCCGAGACGCAACAGTCTAAGTCCACGGAACGTGCACAGATCGAGTCCAAGCTGCAGGCCTTCGAGCAGCAGGTAATCGCCGAGCTACAGCAGCTTCAGCAGATCGAGCGTATGGCGCGCGAGATGCGCGCGAATGCCCAGGGTGAAACGCCCGCCTACAAGCTGCGCTATCCGCTGAGCCGCACGCCTGTCCACAAGATCACTCGGGCGGACATTGAGCGCGCCCTGCGCGACGACTATGTGCGCCGACTGCTGCAGAAGGAGGCGCAGCGCAAGACGAACTTTAAGCGACAGACGCAGCAGCAGCCGGAGCAGCTGCTCACCAAGGAGGACATTGTCAAGGTCATGGCCTATGCATATCGCATGGCCAACGAAAATGCCGAACGCAAGGCCAAGGAAGAGCAGTGGGAGCTCCAGCAGCAGCAGCGTCAGTGGACGGAGGATCAGGCTAAGGCGCAGCAGCAGCAGCAGCAGCAGCAGCAGGCAAAGGATCAGCAGAATGACATGATGATGCGCCAGTGGACGGAGGATAAGGCCAAAGCGCAGCAGCAGATGATGCAACAGCAGCCGAATCCCATGATGATGCGTCAGTGGACCGAGGAACAGATGAAGGCCCATCAGCAGGCAAGGGACCGACAGAATTCCATGATGATGCGCCAGTGGACGGAGGATCAGGCCAAGGCCCAGCAGCAGAATACCATGATGATGCAGCAACAGAATCCCATGATGATGCGCCAATGGACAGAGGATCAGGCCAAGGCACAGCAACAGGCAAAGGATCAGCAAATGCGTCAGTGGATGGAAGATCAGGCCAAGACACAGCAGGCCCAGGAGCAGCAACGCCAGTGGACTGAGGATCAGGCCAAGGTACAGCAGGCGATGCAGCAACAGAATCCCATGACGATGCGCCAGTGGACAGAGGATCAGGCCAAGGCACAGCGGGAGCCGCAGGAGTTTCAGCAACAGATGCCCATGATTATGCAGCAACAGAATCCCATGATGATGCGTCAATGGACAGAGGATCAGGCTAAGGCACAGCAGCAAGCAAAGGCGCAACAGGAGATGCAACAGCGTCAATGGACAGAGGATCAGACCAAGGCTCAGCAACAGGCCCAGGAACAGCAGCGTCAATGGACCGAGGAGCAGGCCAAGGCGCAGCAGCCGCAACAGATGTCTGAAAAATCCATGGAACAGGCAGCCGAGCGCCAGTGGGCGGATGAGAAGATGCACGCCATCCAACAGCAGCAGCAGCAGGAGCAACCGGATGAGGAATCTTCGGTGCTGGGCGAGGCCAAGCCGCAGATGCCCGAAAACGCTGGCCAGGCACGGCACAAAGGTAATCTCTATGGTGTATTCCGCAGTACCGATCCTAATCTCTTGCCGCAAACAGTGGACGCGCTTGGCCTCGGCGGCGATCATCGCAAGAAATCCAAATCCCATTCGTCGCCCACCGTCATAAACTACTACCACAGTGCTCCGGCCGGTTACGGCCAGGGCTACGGACAGAACTACGGCCAGGGCTACGGACAGAGCTACGGCCAGAGCTATGGCCAAAACTCTGGACAGGGCTACGGTCAGGCCTACGGACAGAGCTACGGCCAGACCTATGGCCAGAGCTCTGGACAGGGCTATAGACCGAGCTATGGAACCAGCTACGGCGGCGGCGGGCAAGGATCCAATGCATATGGCGGCTATCGTGCGG